TTCTATGGCATTGGCCATCAACCATTAACATGAAATGGTCGTATCCGTTCTTTGAAACGCAACATTCATTACAGGGTCAGTGACGGAGTATAGACTGAAGCTGAACTGACAGGAGCTCCCTGTAGCATGTTTGTGACCTGAACTCCGTTTTCAGACGATTCTTCCGAGTTTTCGGATGATTGTTCGGACTTGGAGGAGTTGCTTCTCGAATGCGGCTCGCCTAGGAAAGGTTGTGATCAATTTATTCTTGGCACATGCCATCAATGCACGCGTCGCACTTCATGGCTTTTAAGTGGTAGCTCGGCTTCATTCACGTTTCTGTTTGGAAGGTTTATTTTTATTTATTAGCAGTTTGCTTCTTGTTGGATCGATTTTATGCTTGCTAGCATCAAACACATCATACAATTTTACCCCATTTATGCAAACACGATATGATGCCTGCAAACATAACAAACAATGATAGTGTACTCGCCATCACCATGAGACGAGGAGGATACCTGCCAGTCACCGGCCGAGCACTCGCCCGTTTCACCAGGCAAGAATACCGCTCTACTGCTGAGATGATGACGTCAGCGGCGATCGTATGCGGTGACGTCACCTCGCACAGTATGCGGCCGAGCAGGGGTGACGTCACCTAGATACGGTGACGTCATCACTGCACGATCTCCAGTCGAGCGTTACGGCGTCTGGCCGCCGGGTGACGTCATCCAGATGATCGTGAGCTGACGTCATGGACTGATGTCCGGCTCCAGGATTGGCCAGAAATATGAGGCTGTCACATCAGCCTAGTGACGTCAGGTTGACCCTTTTGCACTGACGAGCGATGCTCCGTCAGCCTCTTTTCAGATATGAGTCACTTGATTTCGATGGACGTGCTCACGCTCAGACACTTTGCACCAAAGACTATAAACAAAGCTGGTTGAACTAAAGGTCACCATGCTGGGTGATCTTTAATTCAACAGTATTGATAACTATATGACACATTCTACAATCTACATGGGCATTTGTTTTGGCTTACCCATTGAGTCGTGCCGGTGGCGGAGTGTTTTGGTATTGGCACTGGTTATCGGCTATCGCCGCCGGCTTTGCGGGCTGCGCGCTACGATACAGTGACGGTCGCTTTGCGGCTGCGCGCTGTGATGCAGTCCACATAGCTGCCTGGCCGGGGGCTGCTGACGCTCTTTAGTCTGTGATACAGTGACCTAGCTGCCCGGCTGGCTGGTGGCTGCTGAACTCAGTGATCGACGGGTGGTCTTATGCTGACGCTGTGTGTAGCCTGGCTGAACCCCGAAGCGTCGCCGCGACCGCCTGGCGGGGACTTCACGCATCTGGCGCGCTGATTGCAGGCCCTGCCGAGCTCTGCTGACCTGACCTGACCCAGCTGAGGTCACGGCGCCATGTGCCCTGCCGTGACGGCCGGCCAGCCGACCGCTCCTCCGCGCACCAAGCGGCGTCCAAGTAATGTGCTGCATGCCGGCCCTTTGGCCGAGAAGCGATGTCTGTTCGTCGGGCCGCCTGGCCTAGTCTAGATCGGTGTCTGTGTAGCTTGAAGAGTGGCCGGTGGGCTTAGTACTCACGCTGTATGGTATTTATTGATGTTCTGGCTAATTTCTGCTCTCGGCAGTTCTCCTATTTCGTTTATTTTCTCCAACCTGATGCAGATATGGTTGGATTTCATTGCTTGATTCGGTGAACATTTAATCTTTCGTTATAATGATGTTTTTTTGGTCGATATTTCTTTTATTTCTGGTATTGAAATACGTTGGTATTGGGCTCATTACGCATGCTTGAAGGCACGGAATTAGTTATTTAACCGTTTATTGGTACTACCATTCTTGTAACGTTTCTCGTCTATGCCTGTTCGTAATTCATGTTTGAACGTACTGCACCAGAAAACACTAGCACCGTATTCGTGTTTACGTTTAACCACTCGCGTTTTACTTTCTTGTTCGTCACGGGTTGGCTGGGGCGATGGCTCAGGGAAGAGTTAATATTGTTTATGCATGCTTATTGCTTTAGAGGGATTGACACGGAGGGAGGTTCAACTGATGTGCTACAGGCGACGAGAAACTCGTCTTTGACACGGGGTAGTGGGTGTTTTGACCGGAGAGGCCATGTTCGATCAAGTGGCAACGAAAATCAAATCGAACTCTACTACTGCCAGCTTTCAGTACGGGGCCATTTGGACTAAGCTACCCAGCTCCAACAGGCTTCTCTGGATCCGGCATTGGCACTGCTCGCTCGAGTCCATATACAGCATTGGCCTGCCGGTTTAAAGTTGATCGTTATGGATCCCGCGTTTGCTTCGGCTAGTCCGGCGTTTTTATCACTATCAAAGTATTTTGTTGATTTATGACTAGGGGACGTGAGCTTATAATCTTTCCTATCTGTACACTGTACAGTGTACAGTGTACTACTTTTTAGGCATGTCTTTATCTTCGTCCCAGTCGCCTTAGCTACGGGACTGCAAGCCTTCTACTCCTCTGACAAAAGCGGCAGTTCGGGACGACTGCTGAAGTGCTCAGCCTGCTGGTCGACTTCACCGAGAAATGGAACGAGGGTAGCTGAGAAGGCGCAGGACGGGCTGGTGGGAGATGTCTGGCCTTCAGTGCTGAGCCGTTAACGGCTGACGGCTACTCGCTGTCTAATGCCCACTGTCCAGCCGTCGGCAACTGGCTTGGCTCGAAGTTTTTCAGTCGTTGGTAGCAGACGCCACGGAACTGGGCACTGTTCAGCCGTCTGCGTCTGACCATGCTGGCACTTGTCCTGCCTCTGTTAGGTCCGTACCGGAGTGTGTCTGACAGTTGTCCGATTATCGGTAGCTGACAGGTCAAAGCGGCTGTCTGGCCTCTGATGGCCGCACGCTGGCACTTGTCCGGCCTCTGTTGCCGTCGCGACCCTCCGGGGAGGGGGCAGTTGGGGGCTTTATGACCGTGTCGCGATCACTGCCCCAGCCGGCAGCCGGCGCCGTGAGCCGACGCGCATGTGTGTGTTTTGATAGGACGCTGGCGGCGCGTGTGCCCGGGTAATGGGCGGCGACCAGACGCGCACCGCAGTCGTGATTGTGGCACCGCGCCGGGACAGTCCACAGCTGGTGCCGAGGAGGAAGCCTGCACAGCCACTGAGTGAATTCTCCAAGCCTGCAGCACAGTGGAGAGACCAGTGGAGACCGCTGTTGTGCGAAAATCTCGTCTGTGACTGCGAAGAGATTACCAGTGACCGTTGTAACTATAAGCAGTAAGCACGATACTGCCAGTGATCACTGACCACCTCAGCTGAGAGGTATTGTCAATTACCGTCACAACTGGCGAGATATTGGATTGTCTTACCGCCACAGCTGAGAGGTATTGCTGATGACAAGTGATTGACATTGACCCGGCGAGGTTGTACATAGACCTCACAGCTGGTGCGCTCTACAACCGTCCATCACCAACTGACATTGACCCGCCACAGGAAGACCTGCCGTTGCGTATGTGGGCTACCAATGGACGATGGCAGTGAATCATCTGCGCTAGTTCCGCCACTTCAGTGCACCGTGGATGTGACCGACAGTACTGTGGCCGACAGCGCTGTATCGCGGTGGGCTTGGCGACGGCAGCGGCGTATATCGCGACCCGGGGATCTTTGGCCGCGCTATCTGTGAGGTGGCGGACAGGCTGCAGTGTGCCCCGGTCACTGGGGCTGTGACGAGGTCACGGAGCACGTTGGTGTTTGGTGACGGATTTGTCTGGCGTGATTGCGGGGTTGCGCGTCGTCTGGTTTGCAGTGTTGGAACCATCCTCTGCATATTGCATAAGCTGTTCGGAGTCGAGGCTACCCGCCGTTGGAACTGTTGAGATGCGGTGTTGAGCTTCGTATGTTCGGTGACTGGGTCACGCACCACCTGGTGTCTGTGTGTCTGGTGCTGAGGCTTCCCGGTGCCGAGCTGCTGAACCTCCAGGGCTGGCGGCGCGGCCCCAGGCCGGCGGTCGCTGCCGCCGTCGGACCTCTGTCCACCAGCAACTGCCGGTGTCCACAGCCGGGCGAGGTTAAACGGCCGGCCTGGCGACCGCTCTGTATACTCTCACATACACACGGCTCCGTCCGCCAGTGTGTTTGTGTGTTTGACCGCACCGGACAGCGGCACTTCCTCCGGTCGGCCGGGTTGAGCCTCAGCGGGCGATGCCAGTGAAGGATGCGGCCGCGCACAGTCCGGGTGGTGCCCCGGGACGCTCCCACGCATCATGAACACCGTCCGAAGCGCAGAGGGCTGCATCTGCACTTTGAGAACTTCTACCACAGCTGGGAGCGCGGTAAGCGGAGCGGAGCGTCTGCTGTTGGCTGCTCGCGGCTGGAAGATTATGCGGCCTTCAGATTTGCTAACCAACCCGTCCGACCGGCTGTATTTGTTGATGTGCTGCTGGGGAGTCTGAGCCTCAGGAACCGGGCCTGTAAAGACGTTGACTGATCCATCAGTCCATCATCACGCTGTGCACTGTTCACGTGTTGCATTTGATGATAAGGCTTGTTTTGCTTGTCTTGAGTTTGTATTCCATTTGTTATGTTTTTTTCCTACTATTGCGTCACTCGTTCACAGGATCATCCCCGTGAACGTGATTCAGCGCTCATGTGCGACCCCTCCCCTTAGTTTGGTGTTGTGCAACTCCTCATGTCACTACCATCCGACCCGGCCGACCGCCAACTGGTCGATTGTCATTCTAGATCGGAACGCGCACCGGTTCGTAAAGGGGGGGGGGGCCTGCGGGTGCCACGCGTTATAAAACAGAACGCCTGCTCAGTGCTCAGTGGCGGCTCTAGGGCAGACGGTAACGGCGTCTGATTACCGCGGGGTGGGTTCATGATCTCTGAAAAACGCTCGTCATCATACAACCGCCCGCCGGGAACTTCGTGACACTCAAATCATTTACCGGCATCAAATGGGACGTAGTTTTCATCGCACTCAGTCATTGCAGCGGGTCGACGTGCGGGTTTTTATTAGACAGGCCCGTGTTCAGCACCACGGAGACTGGCGGCGGCTGCCGCGGTCGAGTTCACAGTCTGTGTTTGCGCTGCGCCGACAGCGCTGGTACAGCGCAGTGGCCTGCATGTGCTCGTAGTCTGTTTGTGTGGCTTCTATCAGAGGGCCGTGCAGTGTGTTTGAAGACTGTCTCGGCCGGTAGAGTGCAGAGCGCAGTGTGGCTGACAGCGCCACGGCAGTGTGGCGTGTGCAGCGGCGGGTGGCGGTGTTACTGGACTGCTGCGGGTGATTCGCAGTGCTGATCGTGCTGACACTGGCTGATCTGCCGATCATTGCTGTTGAGCCGCTGCTGTGCGTTGGTTGGGCCACCGCTGCACTGGTCGTCGCTGACTAAAACCGACACTGGTTTAGCTTCGTCTCCGCTTATTGCCGTTGATCTCCGCTGGTTGACTCACCGTCGGGCGCCGTGTCGGCAGTACCCGCGTCTCCCAGCGCCCGGTAATTGGCACGGTGACCCGGCGCGCTCGGAGGCGGGCCCGGCCGGGTAGCGTGACCGGCAGTCGACCGGCACCGAGCTCCGGCCGCCGCCCGCAGACGGAGATGGGTCTGCAGAGGTGATGGGCGCCGACCGGCCGGGTCAGGCCGCTGCCGACAGCGCCCCGCACGGCTGCGCCCGCCGCTCACCCGCCGGCCGGCCGCCGGAGACTGGCAGCAGGGAGGAGTTTGGTAGTCTGCCGGCGCCGCCCGCACCGTGCCGTGGCCTGTAGTGTTTTTGCGTCCACGTCGGGTCACACTGGTAGACTGGACCGTGATTTTGCCCTGCGAACTGCGAGTGTGGAATTCAGCGATGGGTTACGCTGTGTAGACTGGCCGACGTATCGTCCCATGGCTCAGTGTTTGTGAGCTTATACCGGGTGTTTTCGGATACACCGGACCACGTTATCGCCCTGTGAGCCAGCAGTGTGTGTTCGTGTCCGAGCCGGCACCGGGGCACGCCTGATACATTGGGCTGTCGTATCGCCCTGAGGCCCGCAGTGTCGCTCCAGTATCGGGACAGACCGACATAATGTGACCGTGATATTACGCTGTGGTTATCAGTGAACGGTCCTGCACTGGGGCAGGTCTGCCTGGAGCGCTGACGGATCGCGCCGTGCTTAGTGCTCTGGAGTCGAACCGCGTTCAATCTTGGCACTGTGTTGAGGCTGTCTGGTGTTGAAGTGACGGTGGATTATTCTTCGACAACAACTTGCTATGGTGGCATCAGGAGCGCGGCAGAGATCGGACCAGGCGTCGAGTGAGGATGCCGTGACCGCCCGCCGACGGAGTAGGTGTTGGATGGGGACTGGGGAGGGATACAGATGAGTTTCCTGGGAACTAGGGGAGGAGTTGGTAGTCGAGGAAGCGTGTGATGGGGACTGGAGTCTGCATTACTACAGCCGAAATATTTTTTTTTCGCAATTCTACAACTTTGATAGTGTATCACATAGCCATCATTACGTTGGTCGTGATTTTGCACAAGGTCGACTCTGAATGGGTGCCTGGTGGGGTTGACTTACGCCAGCGGCCGGTCGGTGGCCTAAGCACGTGAGAGCAGTCATGTGTGGCTCGCCGGCCGGTCGTTAGGGAATCCGAGCACTGGCCATGAGGACACAAACACCGTTTGGTAGACAAGTTGATCCAGCGCCTATGTGGCTGCTAACCGTCGACGCCATGCATCAGCTCTATCTTGTGCTTCAGACAACATTTACCCAAAGCTCAACGGGTAGCACATTCCTCGACGGATTACGCAGTCTCCGATTTCGCAAAACGGACATGCCTGTGGAATGCTGTGCTTTACCTTTATTGTGCACGGCAGTGTCGTGTTGTGTGTACCTACTCTCAGCTTGTATGGTTTGTTTAGTTTACAGGGGGCTGTTTATAGGAGCCTATCGCTGCGCCCCGGCTACTAGCGACGCTCTCTGCCCGTTTGCTGATGTTTGTGTTTGTGTCTGTCCTGCAGAGGCGGTGGAAAGGAGTAAATCCGTAGAGGATGTCATCGGCTTCCTGAAGAAGGGCTCCCTCCTGTGGAAGGTGAAGTCCCTCAGCAAATGGTACCGCAGGAAATACACGCTCGACTTTGAGCATCTGAAGATTAACTACGAGCCCTCACACAAGCCCGTCTGTGTGGAAAGAAACACTACCCGTGAGTACAGAGACCCGCAGGTGGGATGCAGAGACTACATCAATGCTTGGCTGCGCTTACGTTTCGATGTTTTATTTTTCCGATGTACCAATGTACGTATTGATAAACCAGACTGCTAAGACGATGCCTAAGGGGAAATATGTCATGAGGGATAAATGCGACAATGTCTCACCAATAGTAGCACCAAGTATGTAGCCCAAAAGGTAGCGCGTTCTTCTTCGCTTTGCCGTTCGCTCATTAACCTCCCTTTGTCGTTTTCTTTTCCAGTGGATATAAGCGATATCCACGATGTTAGGAAAGGATGGAAGACGGACATCTTTAACCGGATCGCGTCCAAGGTTGAGAAGCGCATCGTCAAGTTACCCAGCTCGCCTCCCCTGGTCGACGAGCGGAACTGCTTCTCCATCATCATCGGTAGGTGGCACACGCACAGCTTTTTATCGTCAGCGGCTCATCGTGTTCGACTTCTGTTTGCAAACTTTTTCTTCAATATCATGATTGGTGGAAGATATCCAGTGGAATTCGTGTTTTACACAATTTCAGATTAATCGTATTAATGTTAATTAATCTAAAAAGCAAAATTGTCCTCCCTTTGTGTTGTTTCACAGACACACGCAAAGGCAGCGCTGTATTTTCTGTTTAGCCCTCAGGCATTCCTGATACCTGCTGATCCAACGGAACTAAATGCACCGATGGTAAACTTTCACTATCGCTGTATGTATTACCAGCACCTCGTTATCTCGCTTTGCCCAGTCTACGCGTTGATAGACCCGACTTTTCACCGTTATCAATGAACCGGGTAGGAAGGCCGATAGCCCGTCGATGATTGACCATATCGTGGTCCGTTCGTGAGACCAGGACCTGCCGTCTTTATAATAGTCGAGTCCGTGTTTTGCTGTGGTGCAGCTCGCCACATAAGTTTTTTTCGCTCGCATTATTGTACCGTTGTGCTGTATCAAAATATTTGGAATGTGACAGGTCAGTCTCTTGCCTCAAGGATGCTCTTTAAAGACTCAATTTGCTAGATGGCACCAAGCCAAGAATTTCGCCACTTATAGCAGCGTGCATGACGTCATAAATTATCGGAATCCAAGGGAGAACGATGTCTTCACGTGCCGTAACTTTACGTGATGGCCTAGCTCAGTATTGGTAAACTGACGTGGGCGCATGTGTCGTAATTTGTGGCGTTCGCTACGTGCAGGAATCATGAGGGTGCGCTGCGGCGAGATATTCGGACGAGCGGGCGGCCCGCAGTCCCTGGGTCAATGCTCCCGTCTGCCTCCACATAGGTCGGCATCCCCACCATGCACTGGGCCGCGCGACTACGACCCCTGTGTCGACTGAAAATTGCGCTGACGGAAGACGCTTCATTGCCGTAATTAGTTAATTGAAACTGATGGAGTGCGAACGCCAGTATTTCAGTTTAAGTGGAATCGAATGACAGTTTTCGGAAGAGTATTTGGAACTTTATTCGGCTAGCAGGTCATAAAATTGCCTTATTGCTGGTGTTCTCACGAGGTTCTGCAATTCCGTACCGTCTTCGGGAAATACTTCAGTTCCGATATGTAACGTTTACTATGCAATGAATCATTCACGTCATAGCTTTGAGTGCATTATAATAATAATAATAATAATAATAACGGTTTATTTCATACCGAAATCGGTACATATACACAATACATATCACCACAACACTTCAACAAACACAAAGACACAGGAAGCGAATGTAAAATGCGTGTTTCCCTATATCCGGTACACAAACCGATCTGGAGCTTCAGCATTCTCCCTTCTACGCACAATTTGTTCGATCCGGGCAACAAAGACATTATGAAGCTCAGAAGGCGAGATAGCGGACAAATCCAAGTCATTGAGCTCATACTGCTGACGCAGTCGCAAGTGCTGCTGCGCTGCCAGACCCACCTGGCCAGCTGGACTATCCAACACGGCAGCAATCAGAGCATTGGGAGAGAGTGAAAGACGGCGCCAGAACAGAATCTGTCTATACGCTATTTGCATTTGACATGTTAACATTGTAAGATCATGACATAGTTCATGATTACGGGCCCATCTGGGAACCTTAAGAAGTCGCTTCATGCAGTTATGATACGCAATGCTAAGCTCGCGAGCTGCTCTCTGATCTCGGTACATGGTCCAGAGCTCACATCCATAGAGGCTGGCGAGGTGTGCTTTAAAGAGCTTCGTTAAAACATTTCTTTTTGCGAAGCCAACAGTTGCTAACAACATGTTCACATTGTTATACAGAGCACGTTTGGCCCTACGCATGTCATCGAGATCACGCAAGTCCTCTCGTATTACATGGCCCAGGTACTTAAAACATGGCACCCATTTAAGTCGTAGTCCTGAGAGTACTACCTGAGGTGGTCTCGAACTGGTAAGATGTGATACTGAGTAAGGTCTTTTGGGCAGAAATTGCATACACACCGATTTATCTGGATTGAATTCCATATCCAGCAGTTGCGCTTGTCTTTCACATTCACTCACGAGTGTCTGTAAACCCACCCTGGTGGGAGCCAACAGCACAATGTCATCTGCATAGGCCAGAACATTAGTGGAACACATGCCTATGCAACAGCCGACACTCATTCTACGCAAGTCACACAGCAAAGAGTCAATGTACACATTAAACAAAAGCGGAGACAGAATACCGCCTTGCCTCACCCCATTCGCTGCGCTGAAACTGTCAGATACATGACCATCCCACCTTACAGACAAGGTCTGGGAGCGATACCAGTGAAGAAGCAGCTTTAGATACGGTGCGGGCACACCACGCTCGGCTAAGATACTAAATAACTTTGAATGTGAGACTCTGTCAAACGCTTTCCGTGCATCTAGGAAGCACGCATAAACTGGACTCCCCCGTGTGTTAAAATACTCTATGACCTCTTTTAGAACGAAAGTAGCATGGGTAGTGGAGTGACCTTCTTTGAATCCGAATTGCGCGTCAGTGGTGCGCAAATATGGCGCTAATCTCTCTAGAAGGATCAGTTCAAGGACCTTAGAGACACTTGTTGAGAGGGCAATAGCCCTATAGTTGGACGTGTGGTCCAGAGCACCTCCTTTGTTTTTGACTAATGGCACAAGAAGGGAGTGTGTGACGCTATCCGGTAGGTAGCAGTGACTCAAGATGCTACGAAAGATTAACACAAATGCGTAGAGAACATCATCCTCTAATGGAAGCAAGTGCTCTGGAGTGATACCGTCAGAGCCTGGAGATTTCCCACTTCGGAGCTTAGCGACAGCAGTCCTGACTTCGTCAAGCGTGACGGCAGGTATGCCATCCACTTCCAAACGGGTGAGCTGGAGCATTGTAGGCTGTCTGTAATTATTTCGCTGTGCACTTGTGTCGCCGTTACCCTGCAAGAAGTTCCCCTTAGTTCAGGCTGCGTGTCCCTAATGCTGCCATTTCAATATATCCACATCGATATGTATTTGAATCGCCGTCATCCTGTAAATGTATACGAGTAAGAGTATGCGTCCCATCGTTGAATGTTCCTATATCTCTGTTATCCTCTCAATATGTGCGTTCACCATTTAATCAGCATCCCCAGTTCTGTCATCTGCTGTGTCCGTATCGCCGTTACTATACATGCCGATGCCCATTGTCTCTGACGTGGTGCCGTGTCTCTTCGTTGAATCTCTGACGCAGGAGTTCGCTCCCGGCACGCCGGTGGAGGTAGGAAATATTCCGCACCTCACCGCCAGTATCGCTGCTCGTTTCCCCAGTCTTGTGGCTCGATGCTCTAGTATGCCCCCTCGATACACACAGTCTGACAGCTTGATATCTCCAGCTTGCACCAGTAGTAATTGTCCCGCCATAGAGCGCTATATGGCTAATGCATTCACTCAGATTCAAGCTCTTTTTGCGTCACGAGACCCCCCCCCCCCCGCTATTTGAGCTTTAGTAGTATTTCCATAGCCGCTTGGTTCTTATCCATGGTTAGCTGATTGGCGGTACGTCCTACATCCGCTCTGCCTGGCATGCGTGATTATGCACCCGCACACGAACACGAGCCACGGCTGCGGCCACAGACACAGCTGCAGCAATGCGACAGGTTACGAATACCCACCTGCCGTGGTTCCACGCCCTCCCCACAGGCACCCGCACACGTGATAGATACGAGTATGTAATGTAACATTATACAGTCGTGCAACAGGACCAGTTGATACGCGACACAGTGTATTCTAGCTGGTACAGAGCGATACTCAGTGCAGCGTGTTCTGATGTGTGGGAAAAGTTCACGACACACGGTACATTGTGCCCCAGCTGGTGGTAGAAACACACGGCATAATGTGCCCCGGACCAACGCAGTAGTTCGATGGCATCGCCTACATCACCGCGCCGCCCGAACTATTCGTCTATAAACCTGGATTAGCGGCACTCTGTGTTCACTCTGTATGACGGAGTTATTTTCGCCTGGCGTTCGGTTGCGTGCTAGCGGCAGCGAAGCCGAACACCCTGTCGTGATGGTTTCCGTGCCGTGACTCCGCCCGTGAGCCGTACACGCTCGTGAGCCGTACACACTCGTGAGTTGTAACTGTTCGTGGCTGGCCGTGAGTGGGGGCTCCATTGGGAGGGTAGGGCGGTTATCGGAGCAGTGACGGTATGCCGAGCCGAGCCGTCCGCTCCCGTGAGAGTCGCTGCGAGCTGGGCAGATTGGCATCCCCGCTATCGGCCGGCGACCCCACGGTATACCACGTGACGAGTTCTTAGGACCGCTCCTCTGAAACACTTTCCTAACTGACCTGTCGATCGCTGATGCCTCACTACGCCGACCTCTTGGAGAGGTGGCTGTTTCAGACACTGATCTGACCCCGACCACCCACGGGCTGCAGTCCCTTGTCGTCTGCCCGACCCTACCAAAGACACACCTTTGGCAATTTTATCTCACCTGCCCTGCTACAACGATACCTGTCACCCGTCGCTCCTGTCTCTCACTTCCCTCTTGTGGCTCGTCACTTCCACTGGTCACTGAGACTCAGAGGGGTGTGTCGCTGTCGCCAGTGCCGCACCGCTGGGGCAGACTGCGGCCCAGGGAGGGCTGGACCGGTCCCGGTGAGTGAGTGACTCCGATCCAGGCGTGACCCGACCCTGACCTGACCTTAACCTACTCTGACCCGACCCTGACCTGACCTTAACCTACTCTGACCCGACCCTGACCTGACACGGGGCCCGGCCGTTGGGTGGTTAGTGCCACAGAGTCAGAAGTTTGGGAGTCAGCGCGTCGCACCCGTCACTCACACTCACGGCCTCCCTTACACGGAAAAGCGGCAGACTGGACTTGTTTGGTTTGCTTGTTATAGTTTCGTATGTTTGAGTGTTTTCTTTCCCGCGTAACTCGCTACCATTTTCTCGTGTGAATAACACCTATTTTGTTGTGTGTGTATCTTCCCTAAATCGACTCCGAGTGATAATTAGAATAACGAGAATACCTTAGTGCCCATATGACACATAAAGTCCGAGTGTGCTAGAACCTCCATCGTTATAAAGCTGTTGATTTTTCATGAAAGTTCCCATTCCCGCATCCTTCGTTCAATGTCGATAGAGTGGGGAAAAGGGATGAGCACCAAGGCTTGCATTACGATGAGCGCTTACGTCATGCACCGTTTTCCGTGGCCCAAGCACCTGTTAAATACATTCGGTAAACACCACGTTGAATATTTCTGAGACATTAAAGGTTAGCATGCATGTCGCCAGGTTTTATACTGTGTAGCGTTAAAAGTTCCAGCTTGTTAATCGAAAGCGTATGCGTCATTTCAAGTTGGAACTGCTTCAATACCTGCAGACTCTTTGCTGATTTTCAGTCTCATGACTTCTGAGTGGGCTGTCAGTGGCTCCGATATTATTTCATCCTACCACTGCGATATGGACCCAGCATTCTCTGTACTCTCGGACTGACCTCATCTCTTTTCCATCGTCCCACCACCCCACCATACCACCTCTGCTGTTCGTGACCCCTGGACGTTTTCTCGCTGCGGCAGGCATCAACAAGAGCTCTCTGGACCTGGTGGCTCCGGATGAGCACGTGTGTGACATGTGGGTGCGGGGTCTCCAGCACCTGGTGGCCGTGGTACGCAGCCTGGAGCAGGAGAAAAACTACGACCGGTAAGAGCTGGCGCTGAGGGGCACGGGAAAAAGAAGATGGGGTCAGGGCGATGATGGAATGACGTGAGCGGGTGGGACGGCGTATGATTTAGAAAAGAATGGATGGTGTCAGTCCAGAATCAGAGTCTGGTACGGTGTTTGATGTTATAACGGCAGCACATTCCGTGTCGATTGAAGACCCACTTTGACGGCCATATACGTCATGGGACTCGCCATTCTGACGTGGGAAGAGACGACACTGTGACTCAAATATTGTAATGCCGTATTTTTAGTCCTTCTTGCTATGTTAGTGCGTTCAAGGTCGAAGGAACTAAACAAAGCCGCTTGTTTTTCCAATGCTTTCTTGCTCCCCAATGCCTAAGCTACATGTCCTTCGAATTCGCTCGCTATCCTCAGATCCCTGGCACGGCTCTGTCCTATCCTCACTGCGACTATGTTTGTGTGCGTGTGCAGGGGACTAACTCCAGTGTGCGTTGAGCCCCTGACTGAGCGTTGCCCTCGCTCCTTTTGTCACTGAGACTATGCAGGATCTGAGTGGATCTGCGTTCCGGTCAATAAGGGACGCCCGCAGGTAACGGTTCTGTAGAGGAGCAGCTGTGTAGATCAGTCAGCACCACCACGTAATTTATAGTCTAACGCCAGTCGTTAGATTATATATTCCGTGGCATTACTTTCGTATATAACTGTTTTCGTTGCATTATTGATTATTATCCACCAGGGGCGCGGGAACTACTTTCCGACTGGGGGGGCACACCATAATAGAGATCAACCTAGGGTACCCCCAAATCTAGTTTTCTCACCGGTTTAAGGCCACTTATTTTTCACCCCTCGGCTTTTTCGACAGAAAAAGAAAACATTTGCAAAAAAGTGTGGTATTCCGTCTCAAAGCTGTGGGGGCACCGCCCCCACGGCCCCAGAGTTGGGGGGGCAAGCTGCCCCCACTGCCCCCCGGCTCCCGCGCCTGTGTTATCCACAATAATTTGGTCTCTCATGAAAATCGCCTACGCGTTCGCCTCTGAAGTATGAAATGCGCCTTAGACACATTTATACCTTAGATACAGGGTGAGCCAAAAAAAGTGTGTCACTTTTGAGCAGTTATTTCTCGAAAGTGGTAAAAGATACGAAAAAGAAACTTTCACAACTTAAAGAAAATCGTTTGACAAATTATATGATACCAATTTTATGGAAAAGTTTCAATCGAACTGACGTTGTCATCATCATTTCAAAAAACGGGATCTGTGCGTCTCTTTATTTGCGCATGTGCTCGAAGTGGGCACCGCTAAGCCGAAGACCATCCGGAAACGCGCTCCAGAAGCTGACGCTCACCCTCTCCGCGGTGGCTGCTGTCACTTCACGCACGTATTGATCGACGCTGACACGCAGCTCCTCCAGGCTACCGGGCTTGTTGCGATAGACGCTGTCCTTGCAGGCTCCCCAAAACCAGTGGTCCAGCGGGTTAAGGTCAGGACTGTGAGGACTGAGGAGCCCATTGCTTTTCGCTTCCCTTGGAGATCACGCGGTAACCGAAGAGCTCTTGGAGCAGCTGCAGTGTCTCTCGGGCCGTGTGTGGTGGCGCTACATCTTGCATGAACAAATCTTGTAGCGTGATCACCAAGGGAAGCGAAAAGCAGTGGGCTCCTCACAGTCCTGACCTCAAGCCGCTGGACTACTGGTTTTGGGGAGCCTGCAAGGACAGCGACAGCGTTTACCACAACAAGCCCGGTAGCCTGGAGGAGTTGCGTCTCAGCGTCGAGCAGTACGTGCGTGTTGTGCCAGCAGCCACCGTGGAGAGGGTGGGCGCCAGTTTCCTGGAGCGTGTTCAGATGTGCCTTGAGCGTTGAGGTGCCAACTTCGAGCACATGCGCAAACATTAAAGACGCACATATCCCATTTTTGAAATGGCGATGGCAACATCAGTTCAACTTAATTTTTTTATAAAATGGGTATCATATAATTTGTCAAACGATTTTCTTTAAGTTGTGAAAGTTTCTTTTTGGTATCTCTTACCACTTTCGAGAAATAGCTGCTGAAAAGTGACACACTTTTTTTGGCCCACCCTGTACCGCCATCTCTATTGGTGACTTCGCTGGTTTACATTCTAGCCAACAATCTTGGCAGTATCACTTGTTGAATTTCTATCCTTAGTGTATTTGCCGTATTTGCAGTTATAATAGAGGTATCGAGAAGTGCAGCAAATACATTAGTAGTTGCACCAGCAGACCGAGTAGATCAATACTGGGCTACCTTTCCACTGTTCCTCAGCTGAGCTGGCGTGTGTTGGCTATCATAAACGACCTTACGTTCTCAGAGCCATAGTTTGATAGCAATAAACCTTATCTGGCGTTCGACCTTTCCTTGTCACCCGATAAATATGCTACTCTAGATAACTCTAGTGTTCAGTGTTTGCGTATGCAAATCAAGTGTGAGTCGATCGACGTTTCATAGATAGTGACCATACCTGTGCTGAACCTTACCACTGTGCCTGATACTGCCCTTATGTCTTATACATTCAGATATGGTGCCATATACCGGACCTTTTTTACTAATCGTAGGTTACGTCTGCGTGCGGCCGGGCTCTTTATTGGCCTCTGACCTAAACCTCTGTTACCTAAGGTGTCTAATCCATGTGTGACCTCCGGGGCTCGTCTTCAGGGGCTTTAATAACAGCACGTGGCGTCCTCCCTCCCATGTGACCTTAACTGCGAGGCCCCTGAATGACCTCTGACCCCTGTTTGCGCCAGCTGGCTAAAGCGGCAGTTCCAGTCGGCGGACAAAGACAACAATGGCGTGCTGGATTTCGACGAGTGTGTCGACCTCATCAAGCAGCTCAACATACAGCTAGACAAGCAGACCGCCAAGAAACTCTTCCAGGTAACCACCACGGGGCGATTTCTTAGTATGTAGAGTAATTGACAGTGTTAGCGAATATGCGCAGTTTAGTTGTTACGTCTGCCCTCTTGTTTCTACATTGACTACATTGACTATTGACTTCGGGTGACTGCGTCGCACTCTATCCGTGTGTTTTGTGCATGTTTTCCGAATGTACTACCTAAGATTGTGCAGCGACTGTGTGCCTTATTTATCATGGGCCTCTAGAGCGGCTTCAAATCTTATTCGTCTTGCCCAATTCCAAAGGGTTGGTACCTGCTACGCCATAGAACACTTCTTAAAAACAAATTATCTCTGCCTATTTGCCCTGTTTGAACTGAGCGTAAAGTTTTCGCCAACGTACATACCACGCCAATACGAGCGTGCATACTGCGTGACTTAAAATGCAAACAGTTCTCTGCCGCTGTCGAGGAAAATGGTCGCACTGCGGCTACCTTTCCCGCGTGTGTTGAATGGAATGTTTCGTCGCCAAAACCTTGATTTCACTCGATTAACTCAACCTCACGCCTCACGGCACATTCCTGAATGCTGCATTATTTTTTCTTCAGTCTGTGCTGCTGAATTTTGATGTTCTGTGCTGTACTGTAATACTGTCAATCTTATTATCGCCTTTTTCTATCTGCCCATTTCTCTCACTACTTGTTAATAATTCCTTTTCTGGCCCTTCGATCGGCATTCTCCTGAGCTGACGTGTTGTTCTCCCCTGCTACCCCAGTCGATGTGACTTAGATAGCACATCTCCTGTCTTCCCTCCCGGCCGACTGACACCCTATCCTGTCGCCTGACGCCCTGTCCTCCCTGCCTATTTGACCCGCCACCCTGCGCTCCCCAGGCTGCTGACACGGACAAGCGGACCAAGGGCGACCAGCCGGCTCTTGACGAAAGGGAGTTCGTCACCTTCTACCACAGCCTGCTCAAGAGGCCAGACCTGGAGGCCATCTTCCAAAGGCGAGTCAACTGAAATCTGAAATCTGTCCCCTTTCCCCATATTGGCTGACCTGCGGTGACCCAGGAGCTAAGCTAGACTGGTGTGCAATTCAGCACCGTGTTTGAGCGGACTGACAGATATTTCCCGTGGAACGGATAATTCCACGGAATATTTTATTTCTACCTGTGAGAGGGCTGCACCAGCGTATCTTATTCATCATACGGTTTCGAAGTACCGCCCAGGTGTCTGTTTTTACTCGTCCAATTCAAATGTCGTGATCTCTGCGAGGCATTCTTACGCTTTTCTGTCACTGAACTATTAACAATCTGCGTTATGCAGGTACTCGAACGGCGAGCTGCTGATGACCTCTGAGGAGCTGGCCGACTTTTTGCGCGGCGAGCAAAAGATGAACGTCACCAGCGACTTCTGCCGCGAGATGATCGAGACGTACGAGCCGTCCGAGTCCAAGCTGGCCGGCCTGCTGTCTCATGACGGTGCGTTCTGGGTGATTCCGCTCCCCTAACGGCGGCTGTAAGGTTGTTGTTGTTGTTGGCGTTCCGGCCGTCGGGCCCGGTGGGCCCACATGGGGGGCCTGGGAGGGCCCCAGCCCCCCTCGGGGGCGACACTTGCGACGTCCGCGCAGGGAGGGCAGCAGGCCCCCAGACGGGTTCCGGCGGGCTCAGACGCCGGGTAGGGCCGGAGAAACCAGCACCCCGCCAGAGTCGTGTCCCTAACGATAAATCTCTGCGCACACATGTGCGCCTCTGTGGTGTCAGCGTCACTGCACAGATGTTTAGTGTCTACTCTCCCCCGGGCTGGCTGGTGTATGTTATTATGAATCGTAGTGCGCGTAATATGAATAGTAACACGTATGTTGAGATCGGGCGCAAAATGACCTTAGTAGTCGGCGCGCCCTAAAGCCCCAATTTTTATACAAACGTATGTTGAGATTTACCGTCTGATTTTCGCTGTTGCTCCTGGGCAACTTATTTATTGATTGCCCCGTCCGGGGAGCTCGGTAGTCTGAGTTGATTGAGTGTTTTCAGTTTTACGTTTGCTACAGCCTGCTTTTCTACTCTGAATTATCGACTGAGCTTGTCGTATTTTCTCTTCGCCAGGTTTCCAGATGTTCATGAGCTCCAAGCAGGTGCACATCTTCAACCCTGAGCACAGTATGGTGTACCAGGACATGGAGCAGCCGATGACACACTACTTCATCGCCTCGTCGCACAACACGTTAGTAATGATAGTTAGTCTGCCCGGGCTGTGATTGTGAGAGAGTCAGAGGCGCCACGATGGGATGACAGCCTTGTTTTGCCAAGAGATCTACATGACAGACCGCACTGGTATTTACCTCAACAATGCTGGCGAAAAACATCTTTTTTTGCCGCGTTGGGTTTGTTCGATGAGCGCACTCGGTCACCATCGCTCAATTTCTAATCGTCCGTCTGTCCGTATCTCTCGACAGATACCTGCTGGGTAATCAGTTGACGGGAATGTCCAGTGTCGAGGCGTACATCATCGCGCTACAGAAGGGCTGCCGCTGTGTGGAGCGTGAGTACCTCAACGAGTGGCGATCGGTGGCCTGATTCTGATCGGAGGGCGAGGGATTCGCACACATTGTTGGTCTGCTGTATGGGAGGAGGGAGGACGGTCCTCGTCAACGGGCTCAGTAGGGGAGAATGGTCGCCCATCGTCCACAGGTATTTGATACCAGGTCGATCCTGTCGTCTATTGACCCCAGCCTATTCTCTAGTCGTCTATAAAACCCCAGCCCCGTCAGTCGTCTATTAACCCCAGCCCCTCCCATATTCTGCTGACTCCGCCCCCCTCTTTCACCCTCAGTGGACTGCTGGGACGGCGATGATGGCGAGCCGGTCATCTACCACGGCTACACGCTCACCTCCAAAATACGCTTCTGCGACGTCATCAGTGACGCCATCAAGCCGTACGCGTTCCAGTACTCGGAATACCCGCTGATTCTGAGCATCGAGAACCACTGCTCGGTACACCAGCAGGCACGCATGGCTCACCACCTGAAGAGCATTCTGGGCGGTAGGTGGTGCTGCCGGCAGCACGGGCGGTCACACGGAGCAAGGGAGTGGCTCCTTGAGCAGGGGACTCGCGACAATTTCATGTGTGCAGCAGCATTTGACTTGGGCTTCCAGCTGTCCTGAGGAGATATTTGTGTTTCTGCTTAGATAGTCGCACGTGCATTGGCTTTGCTTGGCTAACTATCGAATATGTCCAAGCAACGTGTCACCACCATGTTATGAACGTTTTTACATACTGATGTTTTTGTTGTTCGTGGTTTTGACGAAGTTTTCGACTTTCCGTCTGTTCGGTAGATATGCTGTTTGTCACACCGGTGGACGAGTCGTTGGGGAAGATGCCCTCGCCAAAACACTTCCATAAGAAGATCCTGCTCAAGGCCAAGAAGCTGCCGTCAGACAAGGAGAAGCAGGGTCTGCAGGCGCTGACACAGAAGGTTGGTGACTCACTCCGTCAGGCATCTGGGAGTGTGCGAGGGACGCGGAGGGTACTGGGCATTGAGGGGCATGAGAGGGACGTTACCCAAAGTGGAGCTGGGGTAGAGACCCTGAACTCTTACCTCTCACGACACACCCAGAAACTCGTCGCTGACATTGTATGCCCCTTGTCGATATGCTCTGTCCCTGTGGCTTTCTACATCTATCCCTGTTTTCGCCATTTCTGGATATCGCTGACTTACTCTTCTGTTCACCAGGTAGGCGCGATGATGGACGGAAAGAAGTCGCCGCGGCCGTCGACCGAGTGTGACGAGTCGTGTACGGTCGACGAGTCAGAGTCGGACAACAGCGAGCCGGAGACAGAGTCAGCGCCCGAGGAGCTTACTGCGAAGGTACGTACGCTGGGGCACCGGTTCATAAAGGGCTGGGGGCTTCAGCAGTTCTGTATCAGAAAATGTTAGATGGTTCTACCGGCACTTTTATACTATTGCCCGCTTTAATGGCTCTCTTTGTCTGTGCAATTTCGGTCTCGAGCTCTTTCCTCATTTTCCTCTGTATTTTCTATCTCATTATGATCTTATCCCCTTCTTGCCGCCCTACTTCTCCCCTTCTCCCTTCTCTTCCCTCTTCCCCGCTGTCCCTTTCTTTCTATTTCTTACTATCTGTCCTCTGCTCGTCGGTAACCAGCTATTCGTGCTATTGACTATTCCTTCGTGATCTGTCTTCAACAGTTTCATCCATGTTCCCATGCTTTTCAGTGCACATTTCACGGCCACTTTATTGTGGTACACCTGCCTTCGGTCCTCAGGACGTACATGGTCGTATCTCTTATTTGAATCTTTCATAGACGTTCTATTCTGCACGCAGCAATGACCGTTGTATTATTCTGTTTGATATATCACTCTGGTACGGGAGCAGGCTCTCGTGATGGTGCTGTTTTGTTGGTGGAGGCTATGGTAGATGGGGACAGTATATTGAATGCCGGCGACGCGTTCCTAAACCTCAGCAAACGGAGGACGAGGTGGTGGTATTTTCAACTTATTATCTTGGCGACTGTTGCGTCACTAGCGGTCCGACGTTTTTGCTCATATGTACGAGGTGTGACCAAAAAGAAACGAGACTGTGTCCGCTGAGGACACGGTTCAGCATCTACACACCGATTACGTATACCATAGTGATGCGGAGCATTTCAGCATCATATGAGCGAAGTTTCAATTTTTCTGGCCCATTGTCATTCTTTCCACGGTCGTTTCTCTAAGCCCTTGCAGTATCCCATGTCACAATATGGGTTCTGAACAGACGGGACAAAAATCAAGTTCTCAGTGAAACTGGGGAAAACGGCTACAGAAACACTTCCGATGTCAAATTATGTGTATGGAGACGAAGCAATGTCTCCTGCACGAGTGTTCGAGTGGCACAAAAGTTTCGCGAGTGAACGAGATGATGTGGAGGATGATCCGAAGCCATGACGTCTCACAACATCCAGAAATGAAGAAAAGATCCACGAGCCTGATGCAAAACGATCGCAGATGGACAGGAAGGATGCTGGCTGAGGGGCTATGAATGGGAACAGAGTCGGTGAGTACCATCCTGACGGTGGATCTGGGCACGAGGAAGATTTACGTGAAGAGGTTGCCCAAAGTGTTCTCCAATGATCAAAAGGCTCGCTGTGTGAACGTGTCCCGGAAGTCTTGGAGCAGCTGGAGGGCAGCCCACAGTGGAACCCAGAGTGAAACATCACCCGTACTCGCCAGATCTAACACTATGTGACTTCTGGCTGTTCCTGAACACCAAGAGTGTCCTCAAGGGATCACTTTTTGAAGAGATTGAGGACATGCAAGAGCACATGACACGGGGCACTGCAGGGGGGTTAGAGGCACACCTGTGTAAGGAAGGACAATGGGCCAGAAAAATTGAAACTTCGCTCATATGATGTTGAAATGTTCCGCATCACTATGGTATACGTAATCGGTGTGTAGATGCTGAGGCGTGTCCCCAGCGGACACAGTCTCGTTTCTTTTTGGTCACACCTCGTATGCTTACGTGATAACCATATAGTAGGCAATGTGACATATGGTGTGTGCTCCGAAACCCCATGTTGAGTTATTTTTACCAACTTCCCATCACCCACAGCACGACAAGAAAAAGAAGAAGAAAATGATCGCTCCGGCGCTCTCTGTGCTGGTCAACTACATCAAGGCGGTGCACTTCCACTCGTTCGAACAGTCGCAGCTGGCCGGAAAGTGGTGGACCATGAGCTCCTTCGGCGAGAGCAAGGCCTTGGGGTAGGTGTGTCGTGTGCGGCGGCGCTGGCAGCGCAAGGATGGCTGTTCGGTGCATAGCGGCACGGCGCGGGTATTCTTTACGCTGAAGCATGGACTACTGCATTGCTGATATGGAGTAGTCTATGGCTGAAGTTAATGGGCATAGTATTTGGCATCCAAAATCACACACGTAACTTAGTTATTTTCTCGTCCCTTTTAATGTGCGTCATATAATTATCTGTGCGACGCCCGTGAACATTGTCTCTGCCTCGCGCTAAGGAATGTTTTTTTACGCTCTGTTGTCGCTCTCTGCTGACCGCTGGTGTGTCGTGTGCTCCAGGTTCGTGGCCGATCACGCGGCGGAACTGGTCGAGTACAACAAACACCAGCTGAGCAGGATCTATCCGAGCGGCAAACGGCAGGACTCGAGCAACCTGAACCCGGTGGCCTTCTGGAACACGGGCTGCCAAATCGGTGAGCTTTGGAGTATTTTTGGCTTGGGATTGCCGTTGTCCAGATGGACGACTGGATTCGTTGGATTCCAGACCAGAGACATAATGCGTTCTAAGCCCTCCCCGCGGCCTACACGCCGTGCATCAAAACATCGCACAGTCTTACCCATGCTCCTGTCCAAGGTATCCACTGGTCTATTGTTAGCTCCGATCGCGTCACTCACCCAGCCCTGTCGGCTGTCATCCCTATAAATTCCGGCCCGCCACCTGCACGGTCTCAATCTCAGCCCCTTTGCCGTTCGTCCCATCACTCAGTAACAGTCCTCACTCCTCTGTTCCATCTCGGACCCCGCCCCAGCCGTCACCCGGTCCCAGCCGGCTCCGATCCCCCTCCAGGGAGTATTTCACGGCGGGCAGCTCGATGACACTGATCTATGAGATGGAGCCGGTTGACCGCAGCCAAGAGGAACACACTTCCCCTCGTATTTCATCCGGGGCCGTTATTGATGTGGCTCTGTCGTCTTCAGTGGCGATGGCGTTGAAATGTGTCAGGACTGATTTTGTGGGGGCGACTGATTTATTTTATGGACTGAATACTTGGATATTGACATTTATCGGTCATCATGCACTCGTGAATGTGTTTTATTTACGAGGCACTTATGCTCGAAGATGTCCACATTATTTCATCATATTTCCGGCACAGTTTTCAGACTGGCTAATCGGAAGTGCGTGGCGTTACTCTTTAACGCTATGTCTAACAGTGAAATAATCGAATACAGTGCGTCAAAGATCATTTTTTCTATCCTCTGGGCTCGCCTCACCCTACCTCTCTCCCCAGTCGCGCTCAACTACCAGACGCCTGGTAAGCCGACCAGCTACAACCAGGGTATGTTTCGGCGGAACGGTGGCTGCGGTTACGTGCTGAAACCGGCCATGCTGCGCTCAGTGGATCGGTTTGACCCGACCGCCGACCCGGGAGACATGTGAGTATCGCCCTTTGGGCACTCGTAGGCGGTAAACAGCCGCCATATTTCCAGCTGCCATTGTAATGAATTCAACACACACAAACGATCTTCTCTTGCTTTCCCTTCTATTCCGTTCAAACCGAGTTCAAACGAGAACGAACGAGCGAATAACGAAACAGGCAACGAGACACGTGCCAGGGAACGAATGAAGCGAATGATTACTTATGCGGCGCACAGCGAAGCTTCTCGAGACTTTACGACACGAGGCGAGACTACGATCAGCTGATCGCCCGCGCACCGCACACTGCGACGAGCGCACTTAGTACTTAGCGCCCGCCCGACGGGGAAATAATTAACAACATCTTCCCCCCTGTTGGAGTAGGCAACCCCTGTTGGATACATGCCACTCCAACCCAAGTACACTCGATATGCAACACAGCTTATCACTAAACGATCACTAACTATGATCACTGATACACACGAACACAGTCACAGAGCTCGATCGCGCGCGCCCTACCTACCTACACCTCTAGATCATGGAGCCTCTGTACGGCTCTTGTACGGACACCCTTGGCCGTACGGAGGTCCACCGCACGCACAACCCCGTCAGACCCCGGGTGTAGCCGGGTAACCACGCCCAGCGGCCACATCAGCCTGGGAACGTTATCCCCTCTGATCAGAGCTACTGATCCGACCTTCAACTGTCCCTGCTGACGGAACTTACGGACCGTCACCGGAAGCTGCCGCAAATACTCTGCCGACCAGATGTCCCAGAACCGATCCAGACGCTCTCTCCGGAGCCTGGCACGAATCGAGAGCGAGTCACGTGACACTCCGGTCGGCTGCTCCACCGGCTCGGACTGGAATCCCGAGGCACGTCCGATCAGGAAGTGACTGGGTGTGAGCGGAGACGACGAGTCAGCGTCATCACCAGAGTACATGAGAGGACGCGAATTGACACACGATTCGATTTCTAGCAACAAAGTCTCGAGCTCTGTCTTACCCAGGCAGCGCCTGCCAAGGGACTTCTTTAGTCCCGACTTGACCGTCCGAACGAGACGCTCCCACCAGCCACCCCACCAAGGCGACTGTGGAGCGATGTACCGCCAAACAGGAGCGAGGTGACCGAGCTGAGCCTGAAGGTAGCTGTCTGCACCCTTCAGAGTGGCGGCATTGTCCGAAAATATCTCTGACGGCATCCCTCTCCGAGCTGCGAACCGCCTCAGAGCCAAGAGAAAGTCAGAGAGCGACATCGAATCCATCAGCTCTAAATGGACAGCACGAGTTACTGCACACGTGAACAGACAGATGTACAGTTTTTTACGGGGCTGGTCGAGACAAAACACCGGCCCAGCAAAGTCGAGCCCCGTCACAGCGAATGGCGGAGCCTGCGTCACTCGCGATCGGGGCAGAGGCGCCACAGGCGCGTTGCAGGACCGAGCGTCCTGCTTCTGGCACGAGACACACTGACGTTTCACCCTTTTCGCGAGCCGTCTGACACCGAGCATACGCACCTGAATGGCAGCGCGCCGCCGACGCGTGCGACGCGAGGGCGGCCGACCTCCGAGACGACGTACAGCGCCGTCACGACGCCACAGCGCCCCCCCCTCTGGAACCAACTCAGACAGCTCACCGGAAGGTCGTGGGGGCTCGGCGAGAGGCTCCTCCGGACGGTAGCTAACGGATACGTCCGCGGCGCCATAGAACACGCGGCGGCGGCGTGGCTGCCTGCGGCTGCGACAACGCATCTCGGCGTCTTGGAAGTGGAGATGTTGGCGGCGGCACGCACCATCACCGGCTGTCCGATCTCCACCCCGAGACACGCTGTGAGAGCAGAGGCGGGCGTCGTGCCGATGGCGGCGAGGAGGGATGCGCTGGCAGCACGCCTGCTGGCGAAAGCGCACTCTCTACCGCCGGAGGATCCGCTGCACGCCGTAGCAGTAGCGGCCCCCGTGCCGCGTCTCAAGTCCGTGACCGGATGGAGAGACCGCGGGAGAGCGGTGTGGGACCGCGCGGGCGTGGAGTCGCCCGTCGAAGCTCGCCTAGCCACGAGACCGCCCCCGTGGACAGCGACGGAAAACGTGTCGATCCGCCTGGACGTCGGCCCGCTCCCGGTCGGAGCGACCGCGTCGATGAGGAGAAGCGCTGCGGAGGCGTGCTTGGGAGCGCTCCCCCAGTGTGCGACGTGGGCTTGGACCGACGGGTCGGCGACCGGCGGAGTGACGGATGGCGGCGCCGGGGTCCTCATCGAGCACCCAGACGGAACGACTGAAGTTCTGCGAGAGGCGGCGGGGAAAATATGCTCTAGCTACCGGGCTGAGATGGTGGCGCTGAAGACGGCAGTACAACATCTCCTGGAGCACCCACCCCTCGAGCAGGATATAATCATATGCTCCGACTCACAGGCGTCACTTGCGACGCTGAGGGGAGGACCAGCGGCCCAGACGTCCCCTCTAGGTGCCGCCATCTGGGAGCACATGGCGGCACTGGTGGCTGATGGGGACCGAAGAGTCCACCTGCAATGGGTGCCGTCCCACTGCGAGCTGGAAGGAAATGAGCGGGTGGACGCCATCGCCAAGGAAGCCGCCGCCCTCCCACAGCAGGGAGTCCCGGTCGACGTCCGCACAGTGTACCGTGCGGCGTCCCGGATCGCCAGAAAGGAGGCGACCAACAACTGGCCGGACGGCTGGTACAGGCGGCTGATGGACGGCCACCTACCCGCACCGCTACCCAGCACTACACCACGCGAGGTGGCGGTTGATGTGCACCAACTGCGCGCTGGTCACTGGTCGGGATCTGCGCAGTACCTGCATCGGATCGGCAGGAACCCCGGCCGGGACTGCGCACAGTGTAACTCGCTGGCGTGCCGGGCGGCCGGCTGCCGCTGCTGTGGCGAGGGGGAGGCGGACACGCCAGAACACATCCTGCTACGCTGCCCAGCACTGATGCGACTACGCCTACGACACCTAGGCAACATATACCCGAGGGAGGAGGAGGTCCGGAGCAGCGGCGTGGTGGCGGCCCTGGGGGCCGCCGCCAGGTACCTCCAGAGCCGGGAGGCTACGTAGCGACCGCTACGTGGGGAGTCAACAACAACAACAACAGCCGTCTGACACCAACGATCCAAAACGAGCCTCTTAAAGCAGTGACCAGAGTCGGAACTCCGGCATGCTTCATCAGCAAGTGTTGCTCACGCACGAGAAGCTCACACACATGACAGCTCGGAAGCAGCACAGGATGAACCTCATCATCAGACAGGTCTGCCAACTGCAGCCTGGTTCTCACTCGAACAAGTCCGTCGTCACCCACAAAGGGGTTCAGACGGCACAGCGGTGAACCCTTGGGGACAGGCCGTCCCGACTGTAAAGCTCTCACCTCCTCAGGGTAGGCGTCCCGCTGTGTCAGCGCCCATAGCTGTCGCCTGGCCTCCGAGAGTTCCTCAGACGTCAGCTCACCTCGGAGACAGCTCGCAGTAGACTGTCTCGTCCTCCGACCGCGCGTCCCACTAGCGCGGCGCGCATTGTAGATGAAACGCCGCACCCAGCCAAGCACTCGCACAGCACGTGAAAGAGAGCTGTACCGCTCGAAGTCCAGCGGGCTCTCTGTAACAGACAATGTCGTGGTGAGAGCAACTGCGACCTCCTCGGCAGCTGCTTCAGAGTCAGCTCTGTCGGGTGCGTTTGGCTCGTCAGATACGACAGGCCGTCCAGCTTGCTCAGACAGCCAGACCGGGCCCGACCTCCACAGACGAGAGGTCACCAACTCCTGTGCAGACAGCCCCCTGGTGGTCAGGTCTGCGGGGTTATCAGCACTGGGCACATGCGACCAGCTCGACGGGCTAGTCAGCGCCTGAATTTCTTCGACTCGATTTGCCACAAACTGTTTCCACTTCCGTGGACTGGCTCTGATCCATGCTAAGGCTATCATCGAGTCACTCCAGCAGAGGCACGGAGTGACGTCAGACAGGCGGAGTGCCTTCCTCACAAAGACAACCAGCCGAGCAGCGAGCATACAACCCAGCAGCTCCAATCTCGGCAGACTTATCTGCTTGAGAGGAGCGACACGACCCTTCGCCATGACCAGCGACACAGTGTACGCACCATCGGGCTGGAGAACGCGGAGGTAGACTGCCGCACCATACCCTTTGGGTGAGGCGTCGCTGAAGGCGTGAAGTTCGACGGCATCTGAGCTCTGCCACGCCCTCTCCGAGTAGCGGCGCGGAAAGTGGAGGTCCTTTAGGATCTCCAGGCCCTCCAGCCACAGGCCGAAGACCTCAGCGCTCTCAGCAGGCAGAGGGTCATCCCACTGCAGCCCCATCTGCCACAGTTCCTGGAACAGGCATTTAGACGTCATCACAAACGGCGTGAGAAATCCCATCGGATCGAAGAGACGAGCCATAACACTCAGCACGACTCTCTTTGTCGGCACAATATTCGATGGGAGCGTCACACCCTGGAAGGAGAAAACATCCTCGTTTGGAAGCCACGTGACTCCCAACACCTTCACGCTCTCTCCCTCTCCACTGATTGAGGCAGAGTGTGCCTTGTCAAAGAGCACACAGCTGTTCGACTGACACTTGGTCAGTGCCATGCCAGCTTCTGTCATCACGGATTGTGCCTGAGACAACAAAGCCCTGGCCTCCTCCTCTGAGTTGGCTCCCGACAAGAAATCGTCCACGTAGAAATTCTCCCTCATCTCGGTAATGAGTGGGGAGTCCGGGTACTGCGACAAGTGGTAACGAATGGTCGCGTTCAGTAGGAACGGCGAGCTACACACTCCGAACATCACCCTCTGGGACCGCATCACTCGCGTCTGATCCCCACACGCCCACAAAAACCTGTGAGAGTCCTGGTCCTCTCTGCTCAGTCTAATCTGAAGAAACGCCTTTGTCACATCTGCGGTAACCGCGACAGGCCATCGTCTAAATCTAAGGAGTACCTCGACTAAGTTCGGCAGCAAACAAGGCCCTACATCTAAACAGTCATTTAGTGACACACCGTTTGGTCCGCGCGCAGAAGCATCGAAAACAGGTCTAACCTTCGTCGTTGTACTGCTCTCTCTGACCACAGGCCTATGTGGCAGATAGAAAGTCGGGTACGGACTAACTAGCTCCTCTGCAGGAACCTCGACAACAATCCCTGCGTCCTCCATCTCACGGAGAGCGGCATTGTACCTCTCTCGCAGGTCGGGCTCCTTGTCCAGTTTACGAACCAGTCCAGACAAGCGCGCCTCAGCTGCCTCTCGGTTGTCCATGAGGTCGGAGGCGGCACCCTCCTTCCACGGCAGCTTCACCTCGTACCGGCCATCCACCATGCGCACAGAGTCGTCAAAGTCAGTCAGGACAGTCGAATCAGTGCTTTCATCCTGACTAATACCTATACCCTCGAGAGACCACAGATTCCTCACCACTGACTCATGCAGATCCCCCAGTGTGAGCAGTTGGCAGCCCACTGTGCAGCCGCTTCCCTGCACCAGACCCGACAGAACCCACCCGAACACGCTCAGCTGGGCCACAAGCCCCCCAGCGTTCTGCACTCGACCTGGAACTGTCAGTGCCCAGAACTGATCCAAACCTATCAGTATGTCCACAGACACCTGGCGGTCAGAACCATAGCTGTCCGCCAGCTCCAAACCACTGAAGAATTCCAGTACATGAAGGGGAACCTTCGGTCGCTGTAGCGGCGCACACAAAATGGGAACCTCCATCGCGGTCACCTGGTGCATGGCAGAACCAGTAGTCATTGCCCCTGTCAGCCTAAGTTCGTACACATCACGGCTACAGGCACCAGATTTTCCACCCCCAAACGCCACATAAGAACTATCTTGGGAACCCACCCACTTGGCTCCTACTTTCCGCACTAGGGATGAGCTCACATAGCTCTTGTCCGAGCCACTGTCAAAAAGAACAGTGGCCTCCACAGGCCCATTGGAGCCGTGTACCACCACACATGCTGTGGGCAGCACGGTACACTCCTTCCCCAGAACACATGACAGAGAGGCTCCTATCGCCACTGCATCCTTGGCCCCCACACTGTCAGCTTGAGCCTTATCACAGTTCACAGGGGTAGCGACACCATGTTCTCTGAAGCACACAAGTTTATGATGCCTCCCTTGGCACACTGAACACCGAGCAGAACAAGTTTTGGCAACATGACCTCTTTTCAAGCAAATGAAACAAAGGCCAGCGGCCTTTATCCGCTGATGGCGGTCACTCACGGTCATTGAGTCCATGCTGGAACACTTCCCTGCTGGGTGTGGTCCTGCACAGAAGCCGCAGCTTTCGGCCACAGCCTGAAGAGCAGCTGCTGACGGCTGGCGTCTCTTGAAGCGCTGCAGCCTCTGCTCCTTTTGAGATGGTCCAGCGTCCGGACCAGCCAGAGCTCCAGACCGCTCACGGCGGTCCACCTCCTTCGACAGGAACTCCAGCAGGTAGCTGAGGTCAGCCTCCTTTCCTGCTCCTTCTCTTGCCCACTCAAGTCGAACACCAGCAGGCAGCTTGGACAAGATCAGTGGGGTGAGGAACAGTCCATACTTGTCCCCACCATAACCAAGTCCTTCGAGACTGCGGACATGCACTAGCAGCTTATCCTGCAGCCTTCTCAGGTCAGAACAGTCAGCACTTCCAAATGCCAAGAGACTTTGAACATGTGCAAACACTATCTGTTCTGTTCTTCCGAATCGTGCTTTCAGAAGCTCACAGGCAACTGAATAATTTGCACTGGTCAGGGGTAAGCCTTCGATACATCGCTTGGCATCACCAGATAGCAGAGATCTCAGGTACGTTAGCTTTGATATCTCAGGGAGATCAGAGTTGTGCACAGAGGCCGTGAATGACTCCCAAAACTCAGGCCAAGAAGTCACATTACCTGAGAATCTGGGAAGATCCAGTTTCGGCAGCTTGATACACTGGCTCAGCTGAGAGCAATCACTCTGCGGTGGTGCAGCTTGGCCCAACCCAGTCAGACGTAGGCGGGCCGCTCTGTCTTTCACCGCCACACAGCTGTCTCTGAACTCACCAGCAGCTACAATGTCATCTTGCAACTCTGCCTCACCGAGTTCGAGCTCAACTGCCTCCTGCGCTGCGTCCCAACTGTCAAGCCTCTTTTGAAGCTCACTCACTGCTCGCTCGACAACAAACAAATCTGGCTCCTTGTCATCCAGCAAGCTCTGGAGCTTGGTAACCTCCCTCTGTAGCCAGCTTCTACAAGAGGCTCTGGAGCGTTTGAGCTTGACGAGGTCCGCCATAATCAGTCACAAAAAAATCAACAAAACGAACGATCTTCGGCAGTTCAATGATCTTCCCCGTGTTTCGGCACCATGTAATGAATTCAACACACACAAACGATCTTCTCTTGCTTTCCCTTCTATTCCGTTCAAACCGAGTTCAAACGAGAACGAACGAGCGAATAACGAAACAGGCAACGAGACACGTGCCAGGGAACGAATGAAGCGAATGATTTATGCGGCGCACAGCGAAGCTTCTCGAGACTTTACGACACGAGGCGAGACTACGATCAGCTGATCGCCCGCGCACCGCACACTGCGACGAGCGCACTTAGTACTTAGCGCCCGCCCGACGGGGAAATAATTAACAACAGCCATGGCTAACACTAGATCTTCACCTCTACACTTAGATTTAGGCGATTCGTTGAACCATTGGGCGAGTGGTTTTATTATGTGAATGAATGGAACAGTTACTATGTAGTATCTTGTCACACTTGACAGTAGATATGAACGTTTTGGCTCATAGAGTAGCCAGTAGCCACTCAAGCCAGGTTGGTGGATGGTGGTATGCGCCTCCGCTGTAGTTGGTATGACTGGATCAATGGACGGCACCTATCTCTCAGCCAGTGTGCTCCGCTTGTGAGCGGTGCTGGTGCCGCGTGTAACGGCTGTGTGACTGGTGGCGGCTCCTAGTTACTGTGACTGATGACGGTCCTTACTAACCATGGCTGGCACGATTGGTGACGGCTGTTCTAGTGTTTGACGATGTGACTAACACCCCTGCAGCCAACTGGAGGAGACGGAGACAGACACGGGGCCGTCCCCGGCCGAGCCCGAGCCCGCCGTCTCACCGCCGCCGCCAGAGCCGAGGTCCGTGGCCTGTGTGCGTGCTGCGGGCACTCCCAGCTGCGGCACTCCTGAGTGCTCCTGCTCCTGTCTCCTGACCACACTGCGGCCCTGGGCGCGCCGCAGCCCCAGCAGCCTGTCCTGGTACCTGCCCCTCAGCCGGTCAGTCCTGGTACATATCCTGTCCTGGTATACCTGCCCTTCAGCCGGTCAGTCCTGGTATCTATCCAGTCCTGGTGGATAATGTCCTGGTACCTGCCCATCAGCCGGTCAGTCCTGGTATCTATCCAGTCCTGGTGGATAATGTCCTGGTACCTGCCCCTCAGCCGGTCAGTCCTGGTATCTATCCAGTCCTGGTGGATAATGTCCTGGTACCTGCCCCTCAGCCGGTCAGTCCTGGTATCCTCCCTTCTTTCTATATATTTCCTTGTCTCCCCCATTCTATGTTTCTTTTCTTACCGCAGCTCACCTCTTCCTCGTCTCCCCACGTCTTGGTGTTTCAACACTGGCTTCTTCTCTTCTCGCCACTTTTCTCGTCTCATCTCTCTTTTCCTCCTCTCCTTTTTGTTATTTCCTTGCACTTCCTTACCCTTCTATCTTGACCGCTACCTCTCTCAGCGCTACGGGTCGGTCTGCTGAAGCTGTGTGGCGTCTCGATCTGCGAACCGTGCTTGGTGGCTTTTCATCGCCGGCGCTTGCTCAACAGTTACACTATACGACCGAGCTTAGATGTGATGTCGCATTGCATTGTGTGTGGTGTCCGCGCACTGTTTGCTGTGTCTTGAACACTGGTATTGTTTGGCTTTTGTTTGCAGCATATTTGTTGAAGTTTCCTTGCCGCCAAATTCTTTTTTTTTTTTGTCTGATCTTATCTATCTGTTTTATGTCGATCTGTGGGCGTATTGCTCATTAGTGTAAATGCTATTGTTATGTTCGTGGGCATATCCATGTCGTTGGGATGTCGCTTTGGGTAAAATGTTTGCCTGGCACAGATACTGAGTGAAATGACGACTGGATTACAGGAGTATTAGTTTATGTGTTATTCACTTTGGCATTGTTTTGCACTTCCCATATTATTTTGGCTCTTTTTCTATGCCTTATAAGTTGATGAAGTTGAAGCCAAACAATATTTGTTAGAAAGTACGTTTTATGCTACCATGACGTCTGCCCCTGAGGACGTGAAGATTGCTGTCTGACTCGTTCTTATTGATCTCCGACCCCGGTATGTGTTAACTCTAATTCCGTGATTCATATCTGCTCTCCCTCAGACTCCTGCGTTTACCACCTGTTCCGACTAACCTCTGTCCGACCTATGCGTCAGGTTCCGGCAAACCCTGAAGCTACGGATCATCAGCGGCGCCTACATCCCCAAGCCGGCCGGCAGCAGTCTGGACGATATCATCGACCCCTACGTTAACGTCTACGTCACCGGCCACCCGGCCGACGAGAACAAGCTGAAGACGGCCGTCGTCAAAAACAACGGTACGGCTTTCAGAGGGGATGACTGTGCTCTGCCTGGGCATCAGTGGTTCGTGTTTGAGGCAGCATTTAGGCTTCATCAGGCTCGCAGGATACTGTGACGCCTGCCTTCTAATTTGATAGTCTCTGGCACCAGACTCCAGAGCTTTGTATGGGGTCTGAGGTCTGTGATTCTGTTTCTGTGTGTGAGCCATGGGTGAGAGGTATGCCATCTCTGCCTGAGGACTTAAGCATGACTGTCTCTGGATTATGTGTCATTAACCTGACAGGTGTCTAAGGTCTGGCCTGTGTCCCGCCTTCTGTTAGTCGCAAGCTAACCACTGACGAACTCCGTGTCTTCCCGGCAGGCTTCAACCCGGTGTGGGACGAGCTGCTGACGATCCCCGTGCGTATGCCCGACTTTTGTCTGCTGGACCTGGTGGTGCGCGACCACAGCACCACGGGCTCCAACTACATCCTGGGTCACTACTGCATACACTTCGACGACCTCATGCCAGGTGAGCGAGGGAGAACGGACTCGGCTTCCTTGCTGTACACATACAGACACAGGGCGAGGCCCATAGACACTCGTCTTACAGCGGCTGGTAGTGCCGATCACATTCACAGCTGCCGTTGTAAAGCCCACAGAAATGGTAGGTTAGAAACCACCACTAATTTTTATCGCAAACGACACGCTCAAAGGCTTAGTAGCGTATAACATTTCAAACAATGTGTTTATCCCACTGCTCCCGTTATTGCCGTCCGTGCCGCTGTGGGCGTTCGCGACTGTGACTGAATAGAGAGGTATCTCACCACGCCATCCCCTACCCATCAGGTTACCGGTACGTGCCTCTGGAGGACATGGAGGGCAACTCGCTCAGTCCCGCCTCCCTGTTCGTCCACGTCGAGTTCTCGCACCAGTGAGCGGCCGGCCCGTCGGTGAGGGAATCTGTCTGCTTCTGGGGTTCCCTTAGGCACTGCGATCGGTCCGTCTTTGACTGTGTGCGTCTGGCTCCGTCTGGCTTCCTGGGACTCCGGTCGGTCTGTTGATGGGGCACGCATGGCTCTAGGAACTACGTTTTATAGGGCATGTGACAATGGCCCAGCTGCTCCTTACGTACTCATTGGCACAACTGGTCGCACAAGTCGATCACCGTATTGCTCTCACGGTGCTTAGGTCTGAGAAGGCAGAGACGCCGGAGTGGGGTAGTGGAAAGAAGACAGTGAACCATGGGCAGTATGCAGTGAACGCTGGACAACCGTGGATGGTGACCTTTGTGATTATGGAACTTGGTAGAAGCCCGATGAATGTGAGCATAGGCGGTTTCGCCCGTCAGTGAAGAGTCCAATTATCGAGGGCGTAATCAGCCGAAGAAACTGATAATATTGGTGCTGTTGTGCTCTCTGAACCGCTGTATGACGTGTTCGTAGACTGAAGATTGTGTGTTTGTAGATGCAGTGACGGTACTCTGTCTCTTAACCGTCCGATATTGCGGTAAAACGGCGGCCTCTACTCTGGCCCGGTCTCACAATGGTGCTCGCACAAGGGTTTTAATCAAATGATGATTATCGAACAATCGAACCATGCTTTGGAGATTTCTTACTATCGGTAGCTTAGCGACCTGTTATGTGTGTTGTTATATGACGTGACATGACTCTAGTATTTCAGTTCGAGCGACTGCGATGGTGTCTGTGCTTTGGGGGCGCCCTGGATATTTGAGCTGGGACTGTTGTTATGATCGCGCCGCGATGTTGCCTTGATTTGCCTGTGGTTGGCCGGCGGTTGACGTCGGTACAGTTGCCACTCTGTGTCTTTGAGCCGCCGCGGTCAGTGCGGCCCCAGAGACTCAGAACTGTGACTGTGACCGTCCATAAAGATCACAGAGGTATTACGGACAGACAGCACAAGAAACTAGAGCTATTTTACAGTGAAACGACTCCGACACCGAATGCAATACATTCCTGAAATGACACTGCTTTGGTTATCGCTGGAAGGGACCAGTGTGGATCTGTCGGATAAAGATGGACTGTTTTAGAAATGAAATGTTTTGTATTTGAACAGTTCAAAAGTTACGCTTTCGATATCTTGTACTGTGTTTATGCTGATCGTATTGAATGGTTTCCGTCGTCCCTGACAGGTGGGGGCTGAACACATCTGAATACCGTATCCTCTTGGCTCGGCTCTCATCTGTCAAACCCGTCTCACCCACACCCCGACCACTCTGCCAAGACACGCCACTCGGGCCATTTCGTGTGATTTATTAATAAGATCACGCCTCGTTAACACGCCCGTCCCATCGGGTCGGGACAAAACACCTCATACGCCACTCGGCGCCGGAAACAGATCCTGTCTCAGTCAGTCGCTCACGAGCACATTCAGGATTCGCGTTCCACGGTTCCATAATCAGGCGACGGCGGGTGTCGAAAACTCACCTCTTTCAGAATAGCGCATATTGACTGACTGGCTTTTACTGGCGTTAAACGATTCTCATGACCCATGTCAGGCTCAGCTTTATGGTGGAGCGGCAGGGGCCGTGGTTTCTGAGCGTGCCTGAGCTATATTGCCCAGTAAGGCCGTGTCACGCCTCAGCGGAGCCCGCTAGCGGAGCCCGCTGGCTGGAATAGCGACCGCGCAGGCGGGCCTCGGGCGCTTCTATCCCACATCACAGCCCCGCTGACTAGACCGTGACACCAACCCGCGGGCCGCGCGCCTCTGACACAGAGATCTCGCCATACGCCCCCGGTGTCAGCGACCTGATCGACCCCGACCCGCAACGATCACCGCGCCCCGTACAGCTTACGATCGCGCATCGCCACCGCTCAATTACCGACCCAGACACGACCCACTGAAAGAACAATATTGTCAGAAATAAGAACATAAGACTTTGTAATCGAATGTAAACCTCTTCAATGAAGGTTCGATTAAATTAATTTAAATAAAATCTGCCTATGAATTCTCCAAACATGTTATCTGTGGTCGTCGCACAGTGTCGGATGTAATTGTACCCGGAGCGGGTGTCGGAACTGGCGCGGGCCGGCTGTGCAGTCAGCGCAGCTCCCTCACCAGTCAGTGATGGACCAGCCGAGCCGCCTCCAGTCGAGCGGGCCCTTGGCAGGGCGGCGGGTGGCCGGGGGCGGCGAGAGCGGCCGCCGTTGGCGCAGCAGCCGCTCGAAGCGCTCCTGCTCGCGCCGCTGGCAGCCCGCCGCCTCCTCCAGCCGGGCGCTGACGAAGTCGATGAGGCTGGGGCCGCGGCCGCTCCAGCCGGCGCCGTCGCGCAGCCGGTCTCTGTGCCAGGAGCGCAGCAGCAGGCCGGCTGGGCGCAGCTCACAGCCGGGCGAGCCCTCGCGGCTCGGGTAGGGCGAGCTCGGCGCCGACTGGGCCGAGCCGCTGGAGAGCGTCCGCAGCGCCTGGCGCAGCTTTCTGAGCGCCGGCTCCGGCGCCGAGGGACGGTCCGCCTGCTCAGGCCCCGCGCAGCCCACCACCTCGATCTGGACGATGTGCTCGCGGGGCCTACGGACGTTTTTTGGCTGCTGTGACGGTGTGGTCTCGGCACTATTGCTGCGACTGGCGTCCAGCTCGTGTTTCGGCCGGTGTTTGGTGGAGGATTTCTTTTTGACGGCTGTCCCGCCAGTGTCAGCCTTTTGTCGTGTGAGCACGGGCCTGTCTCTCTGACTGCTGATGGACGAGTCAGACGGCCGTGTGCGTCGGAGCTTCACCTGAGCCGCCTCGCTCTCCGCCTTTGATGTGAGGGACGCATCAGATTTCGAAGAGGGCACTTTCTTTAGCTGCACCATGCCCAAGTTACTGGGAGCCTTTGTAGTGAGAGTAGTCGCTATAGGACCTGGACCTGGCCGTTTCACTGGCTTCAAGTTAAATATCAATGAATTGATCTTTTCAGGCTGAACCTCTTGTTGAATTTTGACCGTTTTTGGTTGGGGACTCGTTTTTCCAGATGAAGACCTTGAATCGCTGGAAGACTTTGAATCGCCTGTAGGTTTTGCTGGCGAGTCTTCCTCCAACTGGATCTTGATCGTTTTCGGTTCTGAAGTTTTCCCAGACAAAGCTTTTGTGTCATTGGCTGGATTGGTTGGCTGTTTTTCTTGTGCCTTTGCCGTTTTCGGCTCCGTAGCTGTCTTCTGAGATGACACCTTGTTATCTTCAGTTGGCTTTGCGTTCTGACTGTCCTGTTTCTGTGTCGCTTTTGGTTCTGGTGTACTCTTCCCAGACCGTGCTGTCGTCGCGCTGGCTGGCGGGTCAGCCGGCACCGTTTCTGATGATTCTCCCGTTGTCACCGGACGGCGGCGGCGAGGCGACGATTCGCCGCTCGACACACTCTCCTTTGATTTCGACTTCCGTGGCTTCTTCCCGTCGCCTACACTGAGTTTGTCCGGCTCGGCGCTGGTGGCCGCAGCGGTGTCTTTGGCGGCAGACCGTTCGATGTCGGCCGTAGGACTCGCCGCGCCCGTGACTGTAACGCTGGGCGTCTGCGAGCGCGACCGGGTCGGCACCGGCAGCGTGGGTCCCGAGTCTGGCTGTGGACTCCGGCTGGTGGGTTTAGCTGGCGAGCTGTCCTTACCAGTGGGGGCCAGCAGCGGAGAGACGGCCCCACTCCGGGAGCGGCCGGGCGAGGGGGATGGAGCGGGCACGGCGGTTACCGGCGCCGGGGAGAGCCTCTGTCGGTCCAGGGTGCCGTCCGACAGCGCTGCCGCTGCCTCGCTCATCACCCGATCACAGACGGAGGCGTGGGCGGGAGAGGGCTGGCGCTGGGTGCGCTGCGGAGTGCCCGCCGGTTGGCTGGCCAGTGGTGAGGGTGTCTGGGGACGCGGGCTGTCAGGAGCGCGCAGTCGGGACGGCGGTGGAGCCTGCGTCACGCTGCCACGGCGAGAGGTTGGCAAGCTGGCTACCTTGGCCACCATTTCGTCTAGGCTGCCCTGCTGCTTCAGCGTCTTTACCTCATCGATGGAGATATAACGCTCCTCCTTGCTCGCCTGCTGCACCAGACGGCCACGGGCTCGCTTCAACGACTCCTCGCGTCGGATATTACTGACACGAGTGTGCTCAGCCGGCTTGGGCCGCGTTTCAGTCCGGTACAGAGGCTCCTCATCTCCACTGGATTCCTCGTCAGAGGACAGTTCAGGTGTGGTGAGTGTCTCACAGCGGGACGGAGAGCACAGACCGACCGAGGCGGCCGAGCCGGCGCGCGGCAGCGCCAGGTCGCCACTGGTCTCAGAGAACGCGTACGGACTGGTCGGGTGCTCCAGCCACCGTTCCACGAACTGGGTCAGGTTGACCTGGGCCGTCTCCAGGTGTGGCTCGGGACATGCCAGAGACGCCTGCCGCGAGCGAGCCTTCATGGGCTGCTGAGGTGGACGCATCGTCAGCCACGGGTGCGTCAGCGCCTGGGCGGACGTCAGCCGCTTGCTGTGGAGAACACAGGAAAGACGCAGGGTCAGATGGGCTGCTATATCAGACATGCTGCAGAATCATCCTCAAAATACATTCTTTTTATGAGAAGAGCAAGGCAAAAGTAACACGAATTAGACAATAAAAAGACGTGAATTTATGTATACTATTATGCGGTTATCCGGTCTGAACAACCGACTCCGTCCACACCAAGCAGTTCACCTTATAGCTCAGTTTTTCTCCCTAAACCCTCTCAAAACACCCAACATCAAGCCAACCACTAAGGCCTCCTCATCCCCACTCCGACTCCTACCTCATGTCCTTGATGAGGATCTTGGTGATAAAGTCCTTGCACTCGTCGCTGACGTCGTCGAAGGCCTCGTCGTCAAAGTCGTACTTGGCGATGGTGACATTTGCCATGGTCTCGCAGTCCGTGTCACCCATGAACGGGCTCAGGCCAGACACACTGCCGCAAAAAGAACGATCTAATGAGTTGGGATGACAAGCTGGGGATGTTTCCGACTCGGTCATGAATTTTAGCACAGGGGAATGTACATTGTACATACGGGAGACCAATATTACTTCGGAGGGCATGGGTCTTAAGCTGTTCATTTTTAACTAACATTTCGCCTATAAGTTTGCATATAATCGTATTTAAGCGGTTTTCGTTCTCGTAACTGTCAGGTAGTGGTTCAGCCCATGGGTTCGCATCGGAGATGATTAGCGTTTAAAGTGCACTCCAGAAGTTTTGAGACTTTTTCAGTAGAGACAGTTAGTTGTTTCAGAAAAGCTTGAAACTTCATTGACTCTCGAAATGAGACCTCCCGAGTTCAATACACTTGTTGTAGCGCTCCGGTCACTTCCTGAAGGCCCGCTGCTAGTCCTTCAAAGTGAAGGTGCCCAGGGCCTTTGTCACAAGATCATTCATCTCCTCCACATCCTCCAACTGGCGTCCCCTGAGCTTCTCTGTCGGTCTGGGGAACATCCAGAAGGCACAGATGGCCAGATCTGGACTGTGGGGAGGATGAGGGACAGTTTTGATGCCCATCTGTGTTAGTTAGCTCGTCACCATGATCGACTTGTGGGTGGGTGCGTTGTCCTGGTGCAGGTGCCCCTGGCTAAATTTGAAGAGTTCCGGTCTCTTGTGGCGAATTCCCTTGCTCAACTCCCGCAGAACTTTCAGGAACCATTCCTTGTTAAGCATCTGGCCGAGCATGGGACCCAGCTAATGAATATAATGCCTTTTTGTCAAAATACGGGATTATTATGAGCTTCCCAGTGGACCTGCTCTGTCTGGCTTTCTTGGGTGTGGGGGAGTCAGTGTGCTTCCATTGAACACTTTGTCTCTTAGTGTCTGGATCGGTAAAAATACACCCAGCTTTCGTCTCAAGTCACTGAAGAGTCAATTTTAAATGTTTCTGGGGTATTTTTATCAAGCTAATCACAAAATTGTATTGCCTTGCGACCCTCAAAGTCGTCCTCACATGTGAGGACACTAACAGCCTGACCATGCTGTACACTGGTCACTGTGACAAGCCGCGTGTGACTTGCCATGTTCAGGGTGATGCCCTAGCCGTCTCTTGCAACGTAGAAAAACAAGATTATGCAAGTACGTTTATGACAACTGTGGTAAGGACATATGAAAGCGACAAGAATCTAGCACTTTTAATAGGGCTTTTACGAGGGCAGTCTCAAAACTTCTGGAGTGGACGACGTATATGACAAACGATTCTGCTCTCGTGACATCTGACGGAAAGTGATATTTATTTGTGTGTAATGCGTACGATAAAACGTCCATCAGTTATTAAAATCGTGTCCCAGAAAGACTCCTATCTTGCTCCTTGACGGGGGCAGTGTTCACAATTTATATTTTGTACGCCTGGTAAGCCGGGCTTCTTTGAGAAAATTGTACAAATTCACTGGGATGTTTCCGAATAACCTTTTTTCGCTACCAAGGTGTAGGCTGCAAATTAACCTGCAGCACTGCGCTTCCCTTTTGAAGTCTCTTCAGCTTTTCAGCTTTCACTGCACGGCAATAAAGCCGAGGCTCTTCCCAGCCGCGCCTACGTCATAGCTGTCACATACGTCACTAGTGACGTCACGGGGAGGGCCGGCGCGGCGCCGGAGGCACGTCCGAGCCGCGTCCGGTCGCCCCCGGCTCGTCCCTCCCCGTGGCCCGGCTCTGCCGCCCCCGTACCTGTGTGATAGGCCAGCTGCCAGCGGAATGTCAGACACGTTCTCCCGGATCGAACATCGACTCAGTAGGCCTCTGAGATTGTGGTATCGCTCATACATTTGGGTGAAGGTTACTTTTTACACCGGGCGATACGCTGACACTTCAACACACTCGCATAATAATGGGCGACTCACGAGAGCAGCAAGTAGCAACTGCCTTTCCTCTCGTAAAAAGTTAAAAAAAAAGAAAAATAAGGACGAATGGGCAGCTCGTCAGTGATAACTTCAGTAGAGCACAGCTTTTACGATGATGCGGCATCCGTCGCATTTCATAAGGTTATGCTGAAATGAACTCCTGATCATAACTTCCCGCTTGTGTTTATCAAACAAAAGGTGGTTTGCACATCGTAATTGGTGCTCCCCGTGGCCTAGTTCTGATAAACGGCGTCCCTGCGAGCCTCAGACCCGCTGCGCTCGGTTGGGTGTCAGGCGGCACAGTATCACTCCAGGCGGTCCGCTGCGCTACGTCGTGCGGCACAGCATCACTCCAGGCGCCGACCACCCGAGCCATCTAGCGGCAGTCTGGAGAGTTAGTGTGGGCGCCGCTCCTGACTCATCCCCTGAGCTGCTCCAGCCGTCGTGGCCTGGACATTTGAAAGCAATTCAGCCTAGTTTATGACAATTTGGCATAGACACAAGACAGTGAAATGTGGATGGTCAAGTGAATGCAGTAGGGTGTAGGGAATCTAAAAAGTGTCGGTGTCACGTCCAGACACTCGATAGCACCGGCCCAGTTAGATTGACCGGCCCGGACAAATTTAGCTCAAAACTTTGCATCCAGATGCTGGTCGATGGAAAAATGTTTCATGCTTTACTTTCGGAGTTCTTGTAAGCAATGAGTAAAGATAGCTTACTATAGGGAGTCTTTTTAGGGAGCCCAGAGAAGCGTGTAACAGGCAGATTGCTCTTAATCATTCCGGAGTAGTAGGCAAGCCCCCAGGTACTCACAGGACGTAGGCGATGACGCCGACAGACCACATGTCGGTCGGGTAGCCGATGGCATCGAAGTTAACCACCTCGGGCGCCACGAACTCGGGCGTGCCGAACAGCACCTGCAGCTTCTTGGCCGGGTCGTAGCGGCGGGCCAGGCCGAAGTCGATGATCTTGATCCGGTTGCCCGTCTTGGAGAGGCAGAGGATGTTCTCCGGCTGGAAGCAGTATACCAGAGAGCGCTGATTTAGGGTCTTTAGCGAGGACATATGACACTTATAAAGAAAAATGGATGAAGGGCTGGAAGGACACTTATAGAGAAAAATGGATGTAGGGCTTGAAATTACACTGGAAGCCTTTATCAACGCGTCGAAGTTAACATTGATTTCAAAATATTTAAAAGCCAAACATTCAAAAGATTTGGAGCTTTACTGCGCCATTTAAGAACAGAAATAATTATGTTTATTTATTATTCTAAATGCATCCGTTTTAACCTCGAAGCGGCGTCTTTGTGTGCAGCACGTTTAATCGGCATTATACACTGCTGACTGCTGAGTGATCCGAACCAGTCTGGCAGATATGTTAACATAATCGAGGCCCGATGCGATGTTTGTTTGAATGATAATCGTCCCCCGGCCCTGGACGGTTCGGGACACCCCTGAAGGTCGGCAATATGGCGCCATGAGCGCTTAAAGCGGTTCAGAGCTGCTTGAGTTCGTAGCAACTTGGCGAGATATTCCTGCCATCGCCGCTCCAGCGTTGTGGTTACATAACCGGTACACCTGGAGCACCCAGTAACGGGCCGGAGGCGCCGGAACCGGGAGGGCGCCCACCTCCCCTGCTGAGTGCTGAGTAACAGCAGTGCGTCATCCGGCGCCACATCATCCCGGCAGAGCGCCGAGGCGGTGCCAGGCAAACAGCAGCCAGTTTACGGCACTGCTGCCTTCGTAACACTGCGCCAATTGAGCGTTACATACTGCCGGCCCGCTGCCACTGTACACACGGCCCGGCGAGGGCCGGCCTCGGGCGGACTGCTGACGTGTCGGCCGTAAGTTCCGGTCGGCTCGACACCCGCCCGGCCGTACCCCGTACGGACACGGCTCGGGGATTGCGGGCCCAGTGTGCCAGACAGGCTCCCGACGGTCGCAGCACCGGAAGGCTCCGACCAGCCACTCATCAGCACGGCTTAGATAAGCCCTGACCGGCGCGCTCATTCACTGGGTCTTTCAGCGATCCACTGCAGTGAAATAGAAGTGAAGCCAGGGGATTCAGACTGTGGAGAGTGGTTTGGGGAGGGTGGAGTTTTTTCAGGCTGAGCCCGTGCAGCTGTATTTATTATTAGCTCAGTTCGCTGTCTGGACCGCTCAGTAGGCCGTTGGGAGCCGCCGGCCGACGGAGCCGTCTGACTCAGCTCTTCTGCCATTTGGACCGCGCTTCCAGGCTCGTTCAGAACGGTTTCTGTGAATGTGTGACGCGTGGCGTTGTGAGGAAGAAGACAGCAAGGCCTAAAACAACGTAGTAGAAAATGTGGAATGTGTGCATTGCATACCCGCCAGGGAGATGATCTTAATTGTCAATTTTTCTGTTCTTTTTGGAGTGGCGTTTCCAGTCTGTACATCGTCACATCACATCATGACTTACCTTCATGTCCAGATGGAGGACGTTCTTTTGGTGCATGAAGTTGACCCCGGCGCAGACTTGTCTCATGAATATGGCGCACGCCTTTTCCGTCAGGATGTAGTCGTCCTCAATCACCCGGTCAAACAGTTCACCGCCCTCTACTCTGCGAAGGGACACAGGTATTTCTCATGCGATTGCATACGATGTCTGGTAGCCGAGCAATACGAGTATGTAAGGCGACGCAGTATTTAAATACTCAGAAATACTATGCCGCATTGCATCGCTCTGGACGCACATATAACAGAAGTCACTATCAATATGCGAAACAAAACCATGCTGTTTGATTAACGAGTGTACGTTAACTCACAAGTCACAATGTGCGTTTACCTTGATCTCTAATAACCACCGGTTTCTTTTGCTCCGACGCACTCACAGTTCCATGACGAGTGTCATCTCCTTGCCGCCGTCGAAGGCGTCGAAGATCTGAATGATGCCCGGGTGCTGGAGGTAGTTCATTATCTCCACCTCGCGCTCCACATCGCGCTTGTCGTCCTTGCGCGGCGTGGCCACGAATTTGGCCGCCAGCTGCCGGCCCGTCGCCTTGTCCGTGCAGCGATACACGATACCGAACTTACCCCTGGGGAGCACAGACATAGGACGGGGTTATGGTAACATAAGTTACCCCTGGGGGAGCACAGACATAGGGCGGGGTTGTAATAACAGAACTTACCCCTGGGGGAGCACAGACATAGGGCGGGGCTGTGACAACTGACACAAGAGTGCCAGGGACGCGAGTGCGACAGCAAAAGGAATTGCTTTGTATCCACTAGTGCCTCCTTCTTCGTAAATTGCCCGTTTGTTTTCATTTAACACTTCAGTAATCACTAAGCATATCATACAGGAGCTGATAATTTTGGCACGTAGACATCACTGAAATAAAACGGTTTCTCTTCTAGTATTGTAAAAAAAAGATTAGCTACGTGTCGTCGATCTCATAATTAATGTCATAGCTATATGTAGCTGCTTGGTTAAACATAACCGTTTAAATAAAGGTGATTATTCATGAGCAATATTCGCTTCCTGTTTCTTTTTCCCAAGGATTTCAAGCGTAATCAATTCGGAGTTCTGGCACTATTCAGTACTCGTTCATTCGATTCATATTATGCTCTTCTCTGGCTTCCTTCCAAAACGGGACAAGAAAAAGCAGTGCACAGCAATAACAACTTCGGGGTCGTACCGATACAACACAGAATTCTATCGGTTGCGATTGGCTTTGATCGCTCACGATCGGTAGACTACTGCAGTATGCGTCTCGCCCCAATTCCTAACAGCGCCTGCGGCCTACGGGAAACCGGCAGGGGCGCCCGTAAGCGTTGGCTGCCCAGTGCCCGCCACGCGGTGTCCGCGTGCCCCACACCGCACGCCTCTGCACAGAAGCGTGCAGGGGGAACGCGGTCAGGGGCAGTGCGGGCAATGTCAGCACGCGCTGCTAGGGTGTGACCTAGTGACCGGGCCCGCCCAGCCGACAGGCCCGCGACTGCCGCCGAAGGTTGCTGGCACGAAGACAGACGCACTCATAAAAGTGTCACTTTAGTTGACGAACGCACGACGAACACACCGCGGCAGTACCAGATGCGTGTGTGGGTGGATGCGTTCGATGTAAGAAGTCTTATCAAATTACGCGTATATGTCCCAGGCTGCGCAGTGTGCGGTTAGATAAATCCAGGTGTATTCCACGTGAGTTTGATCGTATGACACTGGCCAGCGAAACAAGTGGCCAGGGGCCAGGGCGAGGGATATGACACAGTAAGGCAAGATAGATTGAGACACTGACACTTGACAGCTATGCTGACACAGCCGGTGAGCTCACCGTCCAACCTCCTCTCCCATGGTGAACTTCTCGCGGACCTCGACATTACGACGAACAGTGACGTCCCTCGGCGGAAACGGTAGCGTCAGATCTGAAACATGGCGGAAACGGTAGCGTCAGATCTGAAACACGGCGGAAACGGAAGAAAACTTAAAAAATACAGCGGAAACGGTAGTGTCAGCTCTGAACTCTGAAGCATGGCAGAAGCGGTAAAAACATTATAAAACACGACGAAAGCAGCAACGTCAGCTCCGAAACACGCCGGAAATGGTTATGGTAACAGCCAACTAAAAATCGTGATGGGAATGCCGAGCATCATTGAAATTATAAGAAGGAAAAAATATGCGTTTATGCTCGTACAATGCAGCACTGAATAGTGAGCCACGAGCTGCTTCACATTTCCTCGCCACTGGAATCGGATTGACAAACACTAAATGTGAAACACTATCAGGCATGGATTCTCAGTGCCACGTACCTTCCAATGGAAACGACTCATCCACGAAAATCGACATCCTGGAAGCAGAGACAAACTATTAAAATAAATAGCATGAAGTCAGACGGCTATCGACTACGCGGTGAAACAAAGCAGCAACGAGCAGAGGCACACCAACTCCACTTAAAAACCAAACCGAGCCTGCATTGCGCATAAGCCACTGCAAACCTGGATAAAGCTTAACAAGCCTTAATGATTATACCCAACCCTCATGCACACTAAAAGGTAAAAAAGTAGAGGCCCTAAACGGAAAACGTTATTAAAGAAAATTCCCACTTATTTTCGAATGAGCTCATATCCAACAGATCTCTGGCTGACTCGGTGCCAGCACCCAGCGTCGGCCTTGCCCACATCTCGTTCTCGGCAGTCTCGTTAGCCTCCACCCGGGCGCAGGTGACTCGTCTCGCCGACGTGTAGGTACAGGTGGCGCACAGACGGGACCCCCTCCCCTGCCTCAACGCCAGGCCACCCTGCTCCAGCAGCGGCCACCATGCTCGGCTCGTCGTTAGCTGCCCAAGTCTCATCAGTGGGCACGATAAAGTCGTGATTAATTAAACTGCTGACAAAATAGCCTTATTCGGAGTTCCAGGTCCATCGCTTGTATCTGACCACCCTCACTGCTGACCCTGTATGCGCCCATACCTACCTGTGACCGGTCGTGTTCATTCCCAAGGCGGCGTGGCAGTGAGCTGCTCGACCACGCCGCGCCAAACGACAAAGACAGCCGGCGGCGGCGGCGGCGGCCGCTGGCTACCGACCTGTTACGTTTGGCCCCTGGCCAGAGGACCACATTCTTGGCCGGGCCGTCGCCACGGCGCAAAGGTTGGCCGGGGTCGACGCGGAGCGGGCTGGGAGCGTCGCACGCGCCGGGCCCGCGCCGCGCTCCGCCGACTCTGCTGGCCTCGTCCCGTCGGAGCGCGGTGCGAGGGAACCCAAACACGGCCTGTGCGGCGCGGCCCAGCCAGCGCCGCCACTTCCGCCGGCCGGTGCGCGTGGTCGGTCCTCACCCTCAGCCGCCCGATCACACGAGGAAAGAAGAGTTCACGCGGACCCAAGGCCGAGAGCGCGTTTGTAAAGCGGGTGTACCGACCTAGTACCTTTACCAAGGTCAATTTTGTTGATGGATTCATGTCTTGTAGACACATATTGGCATTAGGCGCAGCGAAGACACATGTAGCCCGTGAGTCCGTGACCTTTTGGGCCGGCACCATGCCAGTCAGATTCTAATGGCGGGCATTTATCATGGGACATTTTATCATGCTGTGTTTTATACTTTTAGTAGTTTTAAGTTCCCTGGCTTTTAACCCGCGCCCGGCTGGGGGTCCTGGATTTCCACGCCCTGCTGGGGGGGGGGGGGTGTTTGAACACCCCCCCTTGTAACTCGGCTCCTGGGCCACGTAGCGATACGCGGAAGGCGGCGTTCGAAAGAGCGTCAAAAATAATGACGAAATCACTTCGGTCAATTTTTTGGTCAGGTCAAAGGTCAGGTCACCAGAGGTCATTGAAGGCAAAATTTCGCCGATTTCCAGGTCGAATGTCGAAAATTTCCAAGAAGCCAACGCATAACTCGGGAACCAATAGAGCTACAGCGCCGCGGAAAAGCGCATTCGATAGCCCTATTAACGCCCTTTCTGAGTAATTCTCTCAGATTTGACCTAACGTCAACGGTTTTGCCTGCAGGGGGCAAAAACTGCAAAAATAGCCGATTTTTTCGAAAACAGTTTTTCTGCAATAACTTTTCACTCAAGCCTTGTACGAGCTTACTTTTACCGGCATCGTGTTCCTCTCGTCAAGACGCATCGAATGAACTATAACTTGACCTTGAAAGGTCAACTTGAAAATTTGACCTCAGGTCAAGGTCATGACCTGACCGGAAAGGGTCATGTTGCATATCAGTCGATCCGTATCGTCGAGCTGAACACATCTAAGGCGTTTTCATCGCTCTAGCATGCCTCTATCAAAAGTTATTGGCGAAAAACTGTTAGATACCATTCGTGACCTAAGATGACCTCAGGGCATAAACAAGGGTCACGGACACCATTTTCATGTTCAGTGTGTCTAAACCACTTGTAATTCGGTGTTTGGGAGTGTTTATAATGTCTTTCATCCAAAAGAGGCGCATTTCAATTTTCTCCCATTGACTTATAATGGGGAGGTCGCAAAATTGACCTGACCTTAGGTCATCGATATCAAAATTCTGAGATATACATTTTGTACATGCTGTTGCTCTTAGCAATCGCTGAAAGTTTCAAAGAGATCGGTCACTCGGTGTAGCTATGACAGACATTGAAAGTTTTTATGAGGTGAGGTCACTTCAAGTGACCTGGTGACCTGACCTTAAATGACCTTGGTCTGAAATTTTCACAACATGTGTAGAATTGATGTATGATAAGGTGTACCAAAAACGGCGGCGCTCCGCGCCGCCGTTTTTGAGATATTCGCGAAAAACCACAAGGGGGGGTGTTCAAACACCCCCCCCAGCAGGGCGCGGGTTAAACGTGCATTTATGACGTGAGAACAGAAAAGCCATGTTTTATGGAGTTCTCAATAAAACTGACTATGACTATGACTATGACTATGCAAAGGCTCAGCGAAGACAGGGGCTGTCCTACTTCTAAGAACAATTCACTCTGGCTCAAATAAGGAGGATCATCTTTGCTCGAGACACGCACTCAACGCTTCTCGTCAAACTGCACTTGATCAAACCCCATCCCACTAAACGGATCGCAAATGCTCGGGTATTTAGCCCACTGCCCGGACGGATTTCTTCTAAGCAGCTGCCATAGCAATGCGAATTCCCCTGAACCAACTGTAAGCAGTTCTTCCACTGACATACCCGAACGTCTCTGAGCAGCTGCCTCAACTACCTTGGTCTAAAATTCCCTTGCGTAGCTGACCTCAATGACCGAAATTCGAAACAGACCTCACCTCTGCTGACAAATTTTGACTGGTTTAGGGCACCTCTGAGCAACGGATCTCAGTCTGCAGAAATATCCCTCAGCAGCCGTCTCACATTGAACGTTGTAGAGCTCTCTTGAACAATGACCTCTGCCGACATTTGGGCGGTGACTAAACCCCAGTCAGAAGCTGTCAGATGAACAGAGCAGTCCTGTTATGCCACCGCTTTCAGCCGAAATTTCACTTAACAACTGCTCTTACTGACAGTTTCAGAGCTCCTTGCTCTTGTATGAAGCTCCTCTGCTCCTCTATCTGTAACCTATCTCTCTAACCGTTCCGTGCTTCTATCCTCAGGATACTGAAATCCTTCTCCTCCACGCCGCAACCCCCCTCCGGGCTGGACAGGCAACTTTATCTCATGCAGGCTGCTCCCTTGGAGCGGCACCGCTGCTCCCGAGGGAGCGCACCCCGTAGCCGGGTGCAGTGAGTGCCTTGGGGCTGGGTGGCCTGTCCTCTGGACGGGCTCAGCCCCGGCGACTCACTAGGGTGCTTGCCCAGACCAATGTCTCCCCCTATATCCTATCATCCTCCCGGCTCTGAAATGGTCTGATTGGACCGAAAGGGCCTAACCCAACAAAACAAACAAATAACCTATCTGACCTCTGTGAGGCCAGTCGTCAATCGGCTCACCGTTTCTACCGACCGACAATCGACCCCCCCCCCCCGTCCCTACCGCCCCAGACAGGCGTGTTTACCGGCTAAACGGCCAACAGAAATACCGATCCATTCATCGTACATTGAACAGCTGCCGGGTGGTGCAGACACAGACGAGGCCAGTCTGGGAATTTGCGACTGGATACAACAGCCGTGGAAGAAATCCTGCAGTCAACAAACCATATCTGACCATCACTGGATTTCAGTTTCGCGACTAAACAATACAAATAAACATCTTGATCGTTGTCTTTAGGCATCAATGTCCTTTGTTGCTATGGTTGTTTGATAATACATTTTACGCATATGTTTTGCATCCAATCCTTCAAATTATGACTGATTCGTTCAAAAAGTTTACCTTCATGTTGGGCTAATTTCGACCGAAAGAAGGTATTTTCGATTTCATATTTAGCTGAGTTTATATCCTGCTGGAATATCAAAAATCGCCTGCGTTAAGATTCATGTAGTTTATCACTGTGCCCCCCCCCCCCCCAGTTCGATTACTGAACTCGTAGTTATGTCTGGGATGGGCGGCTGCTGCACGTCCCAAACCCTCTGAACGGGTCGACCACCCGGCTCATCCCGTCCCTCTCCAGACGGGAGTCCGGTACGCACCGGCCCCCGCCCGGTGGCCAGCCGGCCCAGTCCGCGCTGCCCTCCAGTCCGTCTCCCATTCGACTCCCAGCAGCTGGGCCCGGTCCAACCAGACGGTTAATGACGATGTCCGGCCGTCACCGCGTCGGCCCTGGCGACATGACTCGTGCCACGCCGTGCCACAGTGCCACACGTCATGGCAACCGGTGGTTCGTCGTGACAACCGATGGCTCGTTATGAGTGACAACCCATGGCACTTGCAAAGGGCGCGCCATATAGCACGCCATGGTAATTGGCACGGTTTTCGCGTCGAGAAAGTGTCGTCTTGCTTTACTGAAATTCGGTTTCAAGACAACAGACCTGACACTCCTATTTGGAAACGTGTTTTTAGACATTCCGAACACTATTCTTCGAGGCATGTCACGCGTCTTACTTTTGTCATGGTGTTAAGAATAGCACTCGATAGGTAACCAATACAAAATACTGCAGTAATAAACATGTAGCAAAACATGACATGCACATTACACAAGTGTGATCAACTTGTAAAGGCAACACTGCAAGCAACACATATTTGTCCTTAAATGCTTCAAACCTTCTATTCACACATGGCGGAAAATAAATATTTTTCCAAAATTGTAATGCATGTAATTATGTGACCATGTCTCCATGCATATTCGTGCTCATAGTTATATGTATGAATGGTCTCTGTACCCCTTTACATGTTGCTTAAAATCATATGCATTTAAACGATCATAACGCCTTCCTCAAATAGCGGGCATCAGTCATTTGAGGGCATCGTGTATGTATCATGTGAATTGTTAAATTTGAGTCGGCACACATAGGTATTTAGCGCAAACGTTTTCTGGAATTGTTAAAATGGAGCAGGGGGCAAACAACTTCACCCGAGTGCCTTATAACAAGCATTTCCTCACCCCCCCCCCCCCAACATAGGCATGGGTCAGTACAAGAGAAATTAGAAACACTCAAAACCACAACCGTACATTTATAACCAATAACACAAACGTAAACACAAACATTGACAATCATACAACATAGATCAATTAGAGCTGGGCAAGTGAAAGAGTGAAAGAGAACACAGATGAGAGAATGAAATGATGCACTTTAGAGAGAAGTATGGCGCTGAGCAAACGGTCCCGAGGAGACTCGTGGGGTGGGGGGGGGGAGAGGCGGGTAACATTAGCAGGAACAACACAAAGCACAACCAATTCAGTGAAAGCAGATTCACGGCAAGCGCCTGTAACACAGGTCAATTACAGTTCGTCGTCGGTCCCTGACTCGCTGGCGGAGGACATCGCTGCGCGGGCCGGACGCTGGAACTGAGCGTGGGGAGAGCGTGATGTACATAAGCTGAATGGGAGCATTCCTGTGTTTTTGCTTTATTGCGAATCCCAGAGCTTTCTTATTTATACACATGTTAGAATATCTTTAAGACAGCAGAAGCATGATTAATAGTAAAAAGTTAACTAAAAGCACAGTGACCTAGAAGGCGAAACGATTCGGATTACGGGACGTTTCAACATGGTTCCTCGTAAGATCGGTGTTTAGATTTGATTTTACACAATGGTTAAGTGCAACCTTTAAAAGCGGTGCGCTACGCCCCCTATCCGCTAAAAAATCCATGATTGACCCAATTTTTATCTTTGTCAATGGACAAAACCCTTCCCATCTCAGCGCAGCGCCGTAGCGCCCTCAGCCGGCTCGAATGCCTGTGAGGTAGACTGTTCCGCAGCGCAGCTATGTCGTGCGGCACAGCAAATCGACAAGCTTCGCAGGGGCCTTAGATCGCGACAGCCTGCTGGAAGTGCGATTTGCGAATGATTATACCTATATAATTTTGTTTGCTGTTTTAAGCGTGTATCTCAATAGAATTGGCTGCATTCTATCTCACTGTTTTTTTTTTACTTTCTTTTAAATACATGTGTTGTGTTTTGACTTTTGCTAGGACATGGTGATGAATGACCGTTTATGGAGCTTCATCAGAATGTTACTTCCACCTTTTTATTTTAACGATTTAAGCTGCACATCCAAAACCAAACGTTGATAAACAGAAAACAATGAAATAAAAATGAATATCAAATGTCATAAAATAGCTCGCGATTTCATGCCACTGAAGAATAGCAAGCATCAGCCTAAACTTCTTTTATCGATTACGGTTGTTTAGCAAGAGCTACAGTATGAACAAGAAAATAGAAATGTAGACAGTTTTCCCAGGACAGCTCTCAACAGGCAAAAACTGAAGTCCTCTCAAATCGGGTGCACTGAATCGCTCCGTACCTACGGCTAATGACATTCTCAGAAGCGTTTCTCTTGGTAAGAGCTTCAAATTATTACCCCCTTCTAGCCGAATATTATTTGATGGCTTATCTACGGCCCGCGGTGCTATACGTGATTTCAGGGGCGGATCAAGGAAAACTCCAAGGGGAGGGTTATGAATCGAAGTGGTGCCCAGGATTAAGAACTCTGCGGATTTCGGCCACTTAATTTTGGTGGTGCCCTATTTTCAGTTTTTGTTTGCTCTTTATAATCTTTTATTTTTGGTCAGTGTCTTTGCCCTTGGGCCCTGGCAGGCCTGAGGTGCCCCTGACAGGCCTGTGGTGCCCCCGACAGGTCTGTGGTGCCCCTGGCAGACCTGTGGTGCTCTTGCTAGGCCGATGGTGCTCCTGACAGGTCTGTGGTGTCACTGACAAGCCTGTGGTGCCCCTGCTAGGCCTGTGGTGCCCCTGGCGGGCCTGTGGTGCTCTGTCAGGCCTGTGGTAACCCTGATAGGCCGGTGGTGCCCCTGGCAGGCCTGTGGTGCTCCCGAGCCCCAAGGACGGGAGGTCACGTCACGACTCATGACCCATGTGACCCCCCCTCCTTAGATCCGCCACTGCTTTATTTACCCCATGAAATGTGCGACACATCGAAAGTATAGAAGCACAAAACATCTTCAAAAAGGATTCGTTGTGCCATAGCATAAGAGGCGAACTCTAAGGGCTCGATGGCGAACTTTCGCCAAAGTTCCGTTCCAAAGTCCCTCAGAGAGGCTCCGAAGGGCCCGATATGTCCGTCAAGACAGCCTTATGCTCAGAATAGTCTTGAATCGACTTGAACCTCGTACATCACGGAGCCCTTTTGGTTTAGAATATGTGGCCGAAATTGTTTAGCGGCACTCCTTACGTTTGACCTACAGAAGTCGATAACGGTCACGACTTTAAATTTGCACAGAAGATTGTGACCCATCCATTGGAGCGGGAGTCCTGAAAACGGCACTTAATGACTACCATGGCCTGGGCCCTGGAGCTATTTCACCATTAAGACTATCTTAAAAGGGGCTAAAGTGCGTCAATTTTAACCATTTTATGCTGCCCAGGTCAAACGAGTCGCATATTCCGCGTGACCCTTGGGGGTACCTAAATTTAACCCGCGCCCGGCTGGGGGTCCTGGATTTCCACGCCCTGCTGGGGGGGGGGGGTGTTTGAACCCCCCCCTGTAACTCGACTCCTGGGCCACGTAGCGATACGTGGAAGGCGGTGTTCGAAAGAGCGTCAAAAATAATGACGAAATCACTTCGGTCAATTTTTTGGTCAGGTCAAAGGTCAGGTCACCAGAGGTCATTGAAGGCAAAATTTCGCCGATTTCCAGGTCGAATATCGAAAATTTCCAAGAAACCAACGCGTAACTCGGGAACCAATAGAGCTACAGCGCCGCGGAAAAGCGCATTCGATAGCCCTATTAACGCCCTTTCTGAGTAATTCTCTCAGATTTGACCTAACGTCAACGGTTTTGCCTGCAGGGGGCAAAAACTGCAAAAATAACCGATTTTTTCGGAAACAGTTTTTCGGCAATAACTTTTGACCCATGCCTTGTACGAGCTTACTTTTACCGGCATCGTGTTCCTCTCGTCAAGACGCATCGAATGAACTATAACTTGACCTTGAAAGGTCAACTTGAAAATTTGACCTCAGATCAAGGTCATGACCTGACCGGAAAGGGTCATGTTGCATATCAGTCGATCCGTATCGTCGAGCTGAACACACCTAAGGCGTTTTCATCGCTCTAGCATGCCTCTATCAAAAGTTATTTGCGAAAAACTGTTAGATACCATTCGTGACCTAAGATGACCTCAGGGCATAAACAAGGGTCACGGACACCATTTTGATGTTCAATGTGTCTAAACCACTTGTGATTCGGTGTTTGGGAGTGTTTATATTGTCTTTCGTCCAAAAGAGGCGCATTTCAATTTTCTCCCATTGACTTATAATGGGGAGGTCGCAAAATTGACCTGACCTTAGGTCATCGATATCAAAATTCTGAGATTAACATTTTGTACATGCTGTTGCTCTTAGTAATCGCTGAAAGTTTCAAAGCGATCGGTCGCTCGGTGTAGCTATGACAGACATTGAAACTTTATATGAGGTGAGGTCACTTCAAGTGACCTGGTGACCTGACCTTGAATGACCTTGGTCTGAAATTTTCACAATATGTGTAGAATTGATGTATGATAAGGTGTACCAAAAACGGCGGCGCTCCGCACCGCCGTTTTTGAGATATTTGCGAAAAACCACAAGGGGGGGGGTGTTCAAACACCCCCCCCCCAGCAGGGCGCGGGTTAATGGTTCAAGTAGGTACTTGCAGGTAATGGACAGTCGCTCGGTGCCATTTTCAGTGCTCTATCTTCACTGGGGGTAGGCACTGGGCCACAATCTGCTGTGCAAATTTAGGGACCGTTACCTTTTCTGACCCGTCCAGGTCAGACGGCCTGAATACGGAATGAGCAACGGAAATGGGTTTGAGCCTAAACATAGATTGGAGAGCTGAAGATGTGATATTGGATGATCTATCCAATCTCATATGAACCACCCGGTCCGGTGCCGGCGGACATGGGTAACGAACAATACCTGGAGCGTCGGTACCTGGGGCGGAGGCCCGTAACGGACGATACCTGGAGCGTCGTCGACGGCGGCTATCCCTCCTGCTACTCCAGCACCCTGGCCCGACGGCAGGGCGGCAGCGGCGCGCGGTGACGCCCCACCCCAGCCACACAGTCCTCGAGTCGTCGCCACACTAACGGTGCTGCCACCGCGCGGCTGGCCGGCTGGCTCGTCCGGCGCTGGCACCGCTCCAAGCGCCATCTCTTGGGCCGGCTCCAAAACACCACCCCCACCCGGAGAAGACCTGCCGGCCGGCCACCTCACCGCCATCTAGCGGCGGTCGGTGGTACTGTTGAGTCGCTGTCTGCCACGTGAGAACAATCGTCCCCACAAGTGAAATTTCAATTCAACTCTATAAATAAGGGGTGAACACTCGTATTAGAACAGCGAACAATCAATTACAAACCGAATGCTTGAACGCGATAGTCAACACAGAGACATTTGGGTAAATGACCAGATAGGTATTCACTCTTTGTAATTTGAACGGTTCTCTTGTTGATACTTTGAATATTTCTATTTCGGATTTCTTGGTCAGCGCAGAGCCGTCAGAAGTCGCCACAGAACTCGTCGACGGTGAATTTCGGGTAGCAGTTGACGCGGAGTGGCCGGGGCCCGGGCTGGTCTCCCAGGGACAGCCACCACGTCCAGAGGTCGCCCGGCCAGTCCAGACAGACCAGGTAGAGCAGCAGGTCGAGGGTGTACTCTCCGGACCGCAGCACGGCGCGGGCGGCCTCTCCCAGGCGGCGGCGCGCCCGGCGCCACAGTCGGCCGGCGCGGCGGGCGCGGCGCTGCCACCACGGCGAGCCGGGCAGCCAGAACGGCACCAGCACAGAGCGGACGGCGCAGTACCGCCGGCTGGCGGCCAGCAGCAGCTGGAACAGCAGACCGGTGAGCGCCAGGTCCGGCTGCAGCGGCGCCGGGCCGTGCTGGGCGGCCGCCATCAGCAGGCAGCTCAGCAGACCGCAGACGGTCAGCAGCGCGGCGAACCGCACCGCCAGCCGAGCCAGCGTGCAGGCCAGCGCCAGGGCCGTGACCGCGCGCAGCTCCTCCACCCACAGGCCGTCAAAGTGGAAATTGTCATAGGGGAAGCTGACGAGAACAGTTTCAAGGAACAGACACAGGTAAAATAATATCAAGTCGGCCGAGAAGAAACCTTTCGCCCAGAACTTCATCCGGGCAGATAAATTTCTTCACCGTGATGTTAATACTTCAAATTTTGCGCAACCATTAAGGATACGAAGATCAAGTCATCGTTTACAACATGCTGAAAATTTGAAAGGTTATTCAACTACATGGCTGAGATTTAAAAAGGTGAAGTGTTTTGTGCGCGTTGTTTGCAGTTTTTCTTTTTCTAACTACTCGATTTTACCACCGTCGGAACAAAACTCGTGATTATTGCAATCCAGTACCGTTGGCCAACAGAAGCGTTGCAGAATTACAGTACTCGAACATCATTGCTCTGGTGCTAACAAATGATTTTGGCGATGTCCACCGTCTAAATCTAACTTCGCACGGTCGGGTGTGAAAACAGTGTCGAATCCCAAAAGTAGATCGAAGTAAGCGAACGTAAACCCTTCCATAACGCATAAACAGTCAAGAAGCTCAAATAGACTTCTATTCAATCTGTCAACACATGAGATGCAACACATTGGACAAAATGTCTCCAAAAACGCTCATACCCCGGTGTCAAACAGCAACACTTCGTCAAGACATCATGTCCTCCGAATGCTCGGAGAAAGCAATTCCCCCACTGACACATACGCTTAGACACGGACACAGGACGATCATTAATCATATACCCCTCCCCTCTCACATACACTCACGCCGACTCCCCTGCGCCAAGCCGTGCAGCGTCACTGGAACCAGCGCGAGGCGGTGGCCGGCGCTGCCGCCAGCTTCTTACGGTACTTGTCCACCAGATTCGTGAACTTGGCGTCCTCGGGGCGCTCTTTTCCACGGCCCTTTTCCGCCTTACGCTCCCGTCGGGACGGCTTCTTCTGTTGCTGCAGGGAGGGAGTGGGCGAAATCGGTCACCAACGGAGCAACATCAGCATGTAAACTCAGCCTGGCAAGTGGCAATCGCTACAGACTTTCTGATTGTTGGAATAACGTAATTGAATTGGTACTGCGGGTACACAAGAATGTTATGCTTCACCATGTTATTTTAGCGAACTTCTTGGCTTTGTGTTTCATCTTTCGGCACGGTTAAAAAGCTTAAAAAAACGAGAAGCGATTCGTTAATTAGTACACATGTTTCCTCCTGTTCGCTCCTCCCAAGAATTTCAGGAAAGGAGCTGCCACCGCAAACCTTAGTCAGTCAGCCTAGCACAAACAACGCGAAGCCAGAGTTACTATTCACCTTTTCCGCGGGCGTTCTCTCCCAATCCTGCACCACGTCCTTCTTATGACCGGCCCGCTCCCGCCGGCCCTTCTTGTCCGCCTTCAGCATCTTCCTAGTGATGGCCTTGGCGCTCTCCTGGGCGCCCGCTCGCGACTTCAGCTTGGGCAGCCGTTTATTGGAGGGGTCGGCGGCCATACCGGCGTGCGCTGGCCGCGCCGGCTGGGCGGCGGCGGCGGGGGCGGGGGCGGCGGAGGTGGCGCTCTTGGCGGCCTTCCGGGCGCGCCTGCTGAGCGCGGCCGGCGCGACTGGCTGGTTCATCTGTCGACTCTTCTCCTCTCGTTTGCGGCGAGCGTCTAGCGCTGCCCGGTTCTCCACGGCGAACTCCACAATGGGACGCTGTCGAGAGGCCAGACACGCCGTCAGACAGACAGAGAGGTCAGAAAGAGAGGGAGACGCATGGAAGGGGAATGTGAGGGGAATGCACGCCCGATAAACACTAAACAGCCAGTAGGTCGACAATGGGCCGGCTACCGAGGCGACAGATACTACACGTCGTCAGATAGAGGGAGTAAGGACAGACAAGGAAGATATTCAGACAAGGAGGGTACCCTCATCTCAGTTATGAAATGAAAATATGCCAGAGAAGCATGCAATGAAACTTCAGCCAGAAACCAGGGGGAAGCAACTGAGTCAGAGCAACAGTCAAACGTGCGTGGATGAAAAACCGGAATGTCGGATTCATGTGAAATAAATGAATAAATGAATGAATGAATGAATGAGACCGAAAATATTGCATTACGCATATCGTAATATGATACACATTACATTATGCAAGCAGTCATTAGCCCCGACATTTATCTGCTCCAAATTCACTACGCCAAAGTCGTTTCACCCGGCCTCTTTCTTACCCGGTTCACGGTGAAGATCTCTGGGTTGTTGTTGATGTTACGCAGAGCAGCGAGTGACGCCTCGTGCTGCGTGAAGGTGACGAAGCCGTACTCCTTGGACTGACCCCGCGGATGAGACGATACGTCCCGCCGGTCCCGCATCACTCGAGCCTGTGTGCAAGAGTACAAACAATGCGTCATGACAAACGCACGCGCGTGCATATGCGTGATAATGACACGACGGGCAGGTATGTAAGCGACGACACCCACGCTAGCCATAGACGTCAGATATTATCTTGGAACCACAAAACCTAGAGCAGTAACAGAGAGCGTTCAGGACACTCAATTAACAACCAGTTCGCACCGATTCATCCATTACATCGGATGCATATTCATACATTCGCTACATAGTACATTGTGACCTATGTCTGTCTACCATTCCATCCATCAGTCTCCCCGCCAGTCTACCCTTCAGTGAGAGACGGACGGGGGTCATACCTCAGTGATCTGCGCCCCGGCCGGCGCGTGCTGCTGGAACAGCCGCCGCAGACGGCCGTCATCCCAGTCGACCGGCAGGTTGTGTACACACAGTCGCACCGGAGATACGAACATGCCCAGGTTACGCAGCATCTTGGTCTTCCACTTTTCGAGGCCGATGCGTTTGTTGATGTCAGCGCGCGACACTCCCTCGGCTGCCCGGCTGCCCTCGCGTACCACTGTCGGTACCAGGGGAGGGAACGGGTGTAAGTAAATGGGCAGACCCATGACCACTGGCGGATCCAGGGGGGGGGGGGCCACGGGGGCCATGCCCCCCCCCCCAAAGGCCTAAAGTGGCCTGTTTGGCCCCCCCCCAAAACGCCAGAAAAATTGCTAAGAAAATATACCTTGATGGAGGTTTTTAGCCACTTGGTGAAGTAAAGCTTTCCACAGCATAATATGGAAGCAATATAGTAGCAGTGAGGGTCAGTCAAAAGTTGCGCGAGCGGAGTCGACCTTAAAAAAAGACTGTTGTTGGCACGTGTTTATGGCGCGGCAGCTGGTAGTTGGCGGTGTTTCGCGTGGTGTGGCATCACTGGCGGATCTGGGGGGGGGGGGGGAGGGGGGGGGGGGGCACGGGAGCCTGAGGTGCCCCTGACAGGCCCGTGGTGCCCTTGCTAGGCCTGTGGTGCCCCTGGACCCTGGCAGGCCTGTGGTACAGTCCACAGCAGAAGTAATGTGGGGTTTCAGTCATGGGTATGTTCTGCTTCTGAAGCTTAGGAACGATTAGCCAGACTACAATGAAACTTTGAATGTAGCTTATATGTATCGTCACCCTTGCAGCTGCAACTTTAGCTATTGACATCTTCTTTTCAATCACTTCGCATTAAACAATCGCCAGTCAAAGCCAACCGTTGAGTTTGGTAAAACCCTACATTACTTTAGCGGTGGGCTGTACCTCTGGCGGGCCTAGGGTGCCCCTGCTAGGCTGCTGATGCCCCTGGGATCTGACAGGACTGTGGTGCCCCTGACAAGCCTAAAGTGCCCCCAACAGGCCCGTGATGCCCCCGACAGGCCCAAGGTGCCCCTGCGTGATGCCTGCGAGGCCGGTGGTGCCCCCTGCGAGGCCGGTGGGGCCCCTGACAGGCCCATGGTGCCCCTGCTAGACCGGTGGTGCCCCTGGCAGGCCTGTGGTGCCCCTGCTAGGCCGCTGGTGCCCCTGGGCCCTGACAGGACTGTGGTGCCCCTGACAGGCCCAAGGTGCCCCTGCAAGGCCGGTGGTGCCCCTGTAAGGCCTGTGGTACCCCTGCTAGGCCTCTGGTGTCCCTGACAGGCCCATGGTGCCCCTGCGAGGCCGGCGGCGCCCCTGGCAGGTCTCTGGTGTCCCTGACAGACCTGGGGTGCCCCTGACAAGCCTGTGGGGCCCCTCACAGGCCCGTG